TGTCGAACTAAAATTACATAATTGAATCTCTTTGATCAATTAGGTGGAACAATATATGCTCGACCATACATACAGTAGAAGCAATTCTAGCTGAGTTAGAAAAGTGGGAAGACCCGCACAGAAGATTCGAGAATTTCTAGTCTAGAAGCAATTCTAGCTGAGTTAGAAAAGTGGGAAGACCCGCACAGAAGATTCGAGAATTTCTAGTCAAATTGAAGAACTTATAAAAGAAACAAGTTCGGTATGCACCGAAGACTTGGACTCCTAGTCAAATTGAAGAACTTATAAATAAAAACAAGCTAGGTACGCACCGAAGACTTGGACTCCGCTACAACCCACATCGCTAAGTTCGAAAATAGCTGATTGACAGGGACATCAACCAATTAGGTAAGAATCTCGTATGCTATGAAAATACGAAAAGGTCAGACATGAGGTTTTAAGCTTCTAGATAGAGCAACATTGCAACTAATTATGGGATTTAGAGAAAAGATTAATTATGACATTTAAAACTATAGGGACTAAACAAAAACGTTCCCAGTCTCTCAAGATCTAGAGGTAATAGCAATAGGAAAAAAAGTTACAAAGCTCAACTAATCTGAATGTTTGTTATAATAACATCATTATTCGCATCATCGATATGATCTTACAAACTCGAAAACCAAAACAGTACAAGATATCCTAACATCATTATTCGCATCATCGATATGATCTTACAAACTCGAAAACCAAAACAGTACAAGATATCCTCGAACACACATCACCAAACACCGCAAGGAATATCGACATATTAACCCGTCATTCTTCGAGAACTCATTGTTATAGTAAGGCAATCAGTATACAGTCAGAAACACCACCAATGACTCTCAGCTGATCAGTAAAGCAATCTCATTCTTCCCGTCATTATACACATATTTGATGTAATAATCTACATAATTATACAGCTACAAGAATCGTCCTCCTCGTCCCCCGAGTCGCTCACATCGCTGCAAAAACACGCAAAGACACCGGATTCATAATCGATCCCATCTCGTTAAGCTCTTAACGCCAAACTAAAGACTTATTTCAACTCACTTTCTAAGCACCTAAAAAGTCATTCTAAACTAGCGATTTCATGAAGAAGAAGCAAAAGAACAGATCATTTCAACTCATAAGACAGCATAAGACAGCATGACAGACAGCCCATCTTCCCCAAACAACATAAAACACACCAAAAAAAAAACCAACATAAAAGGAGACCAATCAAGCTACCTCGGTTGAAACTCCAAAATCTCCGCTAGATTATTAAACCAACATAAAAGGAGACCAATCAAGCTACCTCGGTTGAAACTCCAAAATCTCCGCTAGATTATTACCATTACTATCAGTCCACCGGACTTTCATCCTCGGCTTATTCGATTTCCTTGACATTCCGCCGCGCCGGGGCGGCAATAAAGCATTCGATTCACTGTAATCTTCGCCGTTACCGGAATCCCCAACTTCTCCGGCAGCCACAGAATCCACAGCCTTCTGAACATCCTTAGAATCGCCACCCATAGTTCACCAAAGATCAAAAAGCCACAGAATCCACAGCCTTCTGAACATCCTTAGAATCGCCACCCATAGTTCACCAAAGATCAAAAATCAAACCCAGATTTGAGATTTCTGAACCGAAACATGGCAAAAATCACAAATCCAGAACCGTGTTAGGGCTCATGGGTTCAAAATTTATGAACCCAACAACCCCATCAAAAACCCCTCTTCCAAACCGTGTTAGGGCTCATGGGTTCAAAATTTATGAACCCAACAACCCCATCAAAAACCCCTCTTCCAAAACTAAAACCCTCGATCTAAAATTTGAACCAAACAAAGAAAATAAGGCTTAGAATCGATAGATTCCCGGGAAAGTGACAGAAAATAAAATCGCCTCCAAACCCCAAAAAGAAAATGGGCGATGGAGCGGTGCGCTGTCGAGATCGAAGAAGAAAAGGAATTAAAAGAACGATAGAAGAAGGCGTTTACTTTGCTGTGATTGGTCATTGGAGATGTCGAATAATACTGTGGAATTGGACGGTTGAGATTGGATATCTAAGAAAATGGATGAGTTTTAGGTGGGTCCCGGTGGCGGGTGTTCGTTAAATTCGTTGCTCATAAATTGTCGGTTATCAGAACTTGTCACTTTTCTATTCCATTTATGTTTTTTTTTCAAACATTAATTGATGTCGTCAATGTGGGTTGTTTTCTTAGATCATGATATTTGATTTAGTACTTTTGAATTGGTTTTTTTTTTTTAAATAAAAAATACCCGTAATGTCATAATATTATTATATGAACTTGTTGTTTACCAAAAAGTTTATAATATAATTATAATTTAATGTTAATTTATTAGTCAAACTTGCTTTTATCATAAAAGTATTTTTAAAGTATGAATTTCGATTTATAAATAATATGTATTGTTTGATAAAACTCTTGTAAATAGGTAAAAATTAATGGTAATATTGAAAATTATAAATTAAACTTTAATTTTTCTAAAAATGATTATTGAAACTTTCCATTTTTTATGAATGTTTTTAATAAAATTTATTCTCTCTAAAATTTTCCTCTCCAAACAAATTTTAAATTAAATTATCATTTTATTCCTAATTTTAATCCACAAATTTTATAATTAATCCTTCAAAATTATTATTATTGTTATTAAAATTGATTAAATAATAATAATTTTCCAAAATTTAATGAAAATTAATAAATGTTAAAAATATCTTAAGAAATTGAACAATAATTTAACATAAGAAAATTTGGATGTTACAATAAATAAATACTTTTAAAAATTCAAATGTATTCAATAATTTAACATAAGAAAATTTGGATGTTACAATAAATAAATACTTTTAAAAATTCAAATGTATTTTTGAAGGAGAATTGGAAAAATATTTTTAAATACTTTAAAAAACAAAAATAAAACCATTTAGAAAATTCTAAACTAAACCAAAAAATGAGGAAAAAAAATGAATAATTGAAGTGTGGATTCTGTAATTTTGCAAATTAAGAAGGACCATATAGCAAAATTGTAAATTAAAATTCAAGCCACAAGTTTGTGTGGCTCAAAACAAGGCCCCTCAACTCTCTCACAATTACACGAAAATATCCACTTTCGCAGAGCATCCAAAACCCTCCATTACAACTTCCACCATGCCACAATTACACGAAAATATCCACTTTCGCAGAGCATCCAAAACCCTCCATTACAACTTCCACCATGCTCTCTGAACTCTGATCCTTCCGCCATTTCCATGGCAGCTTCAATTTCTGCATCTCAGCTTCACAAACCTCTTCCCTCCTCCTTCTTCCGCCATTTCCATGGCAGCTTCAATTTCTGCATCTCAGCTTCACAAACCTCTTCCCTCCTCCTTCCATGGAGGCTGGGGGTCCTCCATTTGCGGCGAAACCACTGGGATGCTCGCCAAATCGGTCCCGGAAGTGGTCCGAGTTGGAAAGCCGGTGAGATTCCGGCCAATGATGAAGAATGTTAACGAAGGGAACGGAAGTGGTCCGAGTTGGAAAGCCGGTGAGATTCCGGCCAATGATGAAGAATGTTAACGAAGGGAAAGGTGTATTTGCGCCTGCCGTTGTTCTTGCTCGAAATATTATCGGAAAGAAACGTTTCAATCAGTTGAGAGGCAAGGCCATTGCGCTGCACTCACAGGTAAATTAGTCACTTGAACGAACTGTCCTTATGAGTTTAGTGAGAAAGGCGTGTTGAGATTTTGGGTTTTGGACAGATTATTACGGAGTTCTGCAAATCTATTGGAGCTGATGCTAAGCAAAGACAGGGATTGATTAGGTTAGCCAAGAAGAATGGTGAAAGGTTAGGGTTCCTTGCTTGATTTTATCACACTCTGTTTCTGTAATCATAGATCTGTTTGAGCTTCCATTTGTATATCTATCAAACACAATCTGAAGCATTATGTTTGCATGTTCTTGTATATAAAATTCTTATTCATCGCTTTTAACAAGAATCAAAGGATGATGAATGAAGGCCTAGAATGTTGATCAATATGATGACTCTATCAGGGTTTTTTCTTTTAGAACTATTGCCATATACATTAGCTTAGAAACCTGTATGGAGTTTATAGACTATGGCTCGCTGACAACGAGGTTTAAAATCGTGACGAAATTTTGCTTCTAATAGTGACTGACTGTTGTACCCACAAATCAACACATGTCCTTTCACATGTTTTGTTCTCACTCATATATTTCATAGAAAAATGATTATAATTGAAAAAAGAATGTGCACCTTATTGGGGTAGACATTTCAATTCTTTTCCAGTTTTTCTCAAGGATCCTATGCTAAGGACCACTTAGATGTGGTCTCCTTTATTCGTGTTACTCTTCCTTTACTCGGGCATTACAATACCAATAAAGTGCATTTTTCTTCCCAAGCTAAAAAAATGTTTGCTTTTGAGTAAATTCTATATTGGGCGGGCTCTCTTAGAAAAACCACCAATCTCCAGTGGTATGATATTGTCCACTCTTATGGAGTCATTGAGTAAATTCTATATTGGGCGGGCTCTCTTAGAAAACTACAAACCTCTGATATTGAACAAAGTATACCATATAACCTCTCTTGAGGTCTATGGAACCCTTGAACAACCTCCCTCTCCTTAATCAACCCTTTATTCGACACTTGGGTCACTTTTTACTATGCCATCAAGACTCACAATATCTTTGTTCAACATTTGAGGAATTTGAGGATTCTATTGGACATAGTTTTACTCTTAGTTTCTCCAAAAAGCCTCATATTTCTTATAAATCTATGATCAACCACTTAATTAGTGATATGATATTCCTCTCTCCATCTTCAATAGGCTAATATAAAAAAAAATTATCTGAGCAAGAACAAAACATGCTCACTACTAGAAACCGTTATCAAGAAAAGAACATAAAAGAGAAAATTTTATAGTTCTACGTGGTAAACTGCAATCTTCATATCTTTAAACTGTCTTGAAGCAAACAATATCAAACAAATTACACCTTATTCATCAATAATCATCACATTACATCTCTCTATGATCATCTTTGTCTCTCCAGATCAAAATACAATCCTCTAGACGACGATCGTTCATGGAGAGTCAAGAAGAACAAAAGAAAATAGTTTGAAATCCAAAACCAAGTCAGAAATTCAAATGCTCAAGCTACATAATACATTGGATTTGGAAGCTTGAACGTTCTTCTTCCACTTGGAGTTCCCTCAAGGCTGCTGTATTGATCTCCCAATATCCCCCAAATGCAATACCCTCCTTTCACCAATCTCCTTCTCACATCTGACTTATATTTCTCCACGTCCTTCTCTTCATCGCTCCTGCAACAAAACAAGCAAACTCATCACTCACCAAGCACAGACAGAAGATTTGTGATTTGAGAGCTGTGACACTGACCTAAAGAACAGATCGGACCATCCATGATACCCCTTTTGAACGAGGTTTTCAATGGTGGCTGATCTCAGAGCTTCCCTTCTAGCAGAAATCAAAATGATGTCCACTCCTTTTGCTTTCAATAGATTGAAAAACCTCAATGTGTGCCCCAAAACTGGTGCTTTGGCCCCGCTCATCCATGCTTCCAAATCTGTGATATTCAATTTCTTCCCCCTACACTCCACGAATCTCAATCAACAAAACAAACCCTCTCTAAAATTGCAATCAATCAGAACAGATTCAACAGACCCACAAACATTCTTCAGCAATCATGAGAACTCGGACATTGCATTAGTCAGAACACAACAAAAGAAAGTTGATCATATTCGTCAATCAGAACAGATTCAACAGACCCATAAAGACTTTTCATCAAAACATTCAAACAAATAAAGGGTATGACGGAAACGAGAAAAGAAAGTTACCCATGTTCATCAATCAGAACAGATTCAACAGACCCACAAGAATTCATCATCAATCAAAACACAAAACCAAAAGGGAAAGGGTAGGATGAAAAGGAGAAAGAAAAGTTACCCGTATTGAATTTTCTTGTAATAGGGCACAGTAGAGATGAGGGTATCATCGATATCAAAGATCCAAGCATCAGTGCCGTCGCCCTTAAGGGAGCAGCCCTTGGTAAGGTACACGATACATTCTTCAATTGTCCTCTCGGAATCAACTTTGTACTGAGTGGAGGTAACGTAGTTGCCAATGTAACCAACGCATTCTTCAGGAACAAGTTTGAAGTATCGGACATTGTGGAGCTCAACGTTCAATCTCCAGCTCTCGCAGTAGTTTTTTAGGCTGATTTTGAGGCCATTTTTGTTCCTTCGGTTGACAATGTTCCAGTCTGCAGCTGTTACAGCCATGAAGAGGCAAAAGAAAGTGGAGAAAAGGGGTAGTACAGGTTTTGACTTTGCCTTTGCCATTGCCATTGAAATTGTTTTTGGGTTGTGAAATGGAAGGGATTTCGAAGCGTTTAAGTAAGCATAGAGGGGGAAAGATCCGAAGGGACAGAGTCAATTGAGCAAAATAAGAACAGTTTTAGACCCTAAATGTAAGGTGTTCTGCCACCACAACGGGATTTTCTTTTACTCAAATTTATTTTTAAAAAATAAAAAATCAATTTGTTTCAGGAACTTAATTGATATGATAATAAAGTTTCTAACATTCTTTAATCAAAATGTATTTAAAACATTTTTAAATTTTTAAATCAAAATTGGACCTAAATTGATAAATCTGAGTTCGACAATTATTTAAAATTGGATCAAAATTGATTCTGTTAGGAGAGCCCTAAAAATCAATTTATGTTTCATTATAATCTCTCATAACCATTCATTTTTCAAACAATTTAGTATATTTAAAAGTTCAAATTCTTCGATCAATCAGTTCATGGTCTCAAACTGAAATTTCAATCAATCAATTTATGTTCATTAGAATTGAAATTTCAAACATTTACAACACAACTTGATCTTAGGTCTACAAGCTTGAAACTCTAAATCGTCTCAAATCTATCCACAAAAGAGTCTAGAGACAAAACATGGCAGCCCTTGATTTGGAAGCCAGCAATTTGATTTCAACGCCCACGCTCTCGTCTCAAGTCTCCCATCATGCATCACATCAACGTGCAAAGCCTTTTTGATTTGAAGACCACATTCCACCAAAAGTTAGTTTAATTTAGACAATAGGTAATAGAACAATAATCTAAATTCGAAGAGTTGGATCAATCCAAGAAGGAGAGGTAATTCCTGAATTCTTTTTAGAAAACAAGTAATATTTTTAGATCCTAAAAATATTCAGCCCTTCAAAGGTTTTAAAGAAAATACCAGGCTACATATCTCATTACATTGAAAACTATCAACACTCATTTTCTAGAGAAATCTCATGAGCTTACAATTTGGTGTCGATTTAACCAAAGCTATCATGTAGAGACCAAATGGAACAGATGTGAGCAAGAAATTTTCAAACATCTGTAACGATGGTCTCAGTCGATTTTCCAGACTCGTAACTGTATCAAACCATTCATAAAAGAAATGATACATGACTAAGTCTGGTAGCACCAGATTTCTCGCGAAAACAATTAGTAATCAACATAAATTCAAATCTATAAAGTAACAAGCATCAAACACAGATCCACCATTCTGCAATTACCTCTAAAAGATAGAACAAACACGAATCAAAAATAAAAAATAAAACTCTAGCAGTAGAGCGATAATGGTGGTAGCAGTGTGCCAACCTTAACCATATCTCCAGCAATTTCAAAATTAGGGCAGAAAATGGAGAGACGCAAAGAAGGTGATAGAAGAGGACGACGGTGCGAGAAAGAATTACGGTTTAACACGATTGAAGGGGCTCCCATCTGATGAAAAGGTTTAGGGTTTTGCCCATATTTATATACAATTTTAGAGGGGATGACGGACGGGCTTGGGCTTTAAGGCCCAAAACTATTGAGGCCCAGTGTTCTGTGGGCCATTTTTGGGCCTAATTGTAGTGTTTCTTATTTATTTCCGTAGATTAATCTCTTAAAAGATAATTTTTTACTATGTGATTTTTAAAAATATAAATATAATGTTACTATATGATTTTTAAAAATTCAAATTTCAATATTACTAGTTTTCGAATCTGCAAAGATAAACGGAAGTAAGAAGTAGAATCCCCTATAACGTAGAAAGCGAGGTGGGAACGAGATGGGGACGAGATGGGGTCGTTTAGCTAACGAACAAAAAAATCTCTTCTCACTCTTTCCATTCTCAGTTTAAATAAGGACCCGTCGGAATCCTTTATAACGTATAGAGCAAGGCAGATGGGGTCGTTTAGCTAACGAACAAAAAAATCTCTTTTCACTCTTCCCATTTTCAGTTTAAATAAGGACCCGTCGGAATCCTTTATAACGTATAGAGCAAGGCGGGGACGAGACGGGAGGCCTGTATAGCTAACAGGGAAAAATCTCTCCTCATTTTATCCCCATTCTCCATTCAAACGAAAGTTTCTAACTCCGACAACTCGTCCCCGCCAATTAAAAGCAAAAAAGTCAACAAAATTTCGGGTTCAAGACACGAAATTGAATGTCAACTACAAACTCAGCAAAGCTTTGAACTTTTGTATATTCATACCTCTAATCTAAATAACTCATCCAGTCGCCATGTCAAAAGCTTGTAGAGATCAAAAAATGGAACAAGCTAGCTAAGCTATGGAAGTTTTCCTTCCTCATTCACACAAATTACAAATCACCTATTCTAATTTCCCTCCAATCTTCTTCTTATTTTAGCTCCTGTACATTTCTCGTTTTCAGAGCCGGACTTCGCGAATGGATCATCGCCACCGCAATCGAGAAAGATTGCAGACATGACAGTTTCCGTTCAAAATGAACAAAGTACAACCCGTCACGGATGTTCACCATCCTCAGCGCTGGACGATCCTTCTCTAAACCCTGAAATATGTCATAATCATCACGAATCTAACTAAATTACTAGAATGATTCAGAGGTCAAAGGTCGAAATCTCTAAGAGGGAGAGTGTATATATATATATACCTTAGCATGTACGTTGAATGCCCGACACTTGTGCGTGTCTGTTCGGCGCGAAGTATCTTCACTGACCAATTGGCCTTCAAGTACTGTTAGAGGACATCCAATATCCCAACCGCCACAATCACAGTGTCCACCCGACCTCCACCGTTCCTTGAGGGTGGAAGGACCACAGTTCCTTGTTCTAGGCCCACCATGAAGACCAGCAGGGATAAGAACATCCATGCTCGTCGAACATTTACCGATATTTCGAGCACAACAGTCAGCCTGCACTGTGGCTGCTGGCGAATCGGGTGTTTGTTCGGCCTTGGCCTGTTTGAGAAACTTTAGACCCCAACCTCCACGTCTACTGCCACGATCTTCCGGGAGATGGTCTCTCACAACAACGGTACACAGCTCAAAATTGGGGGGAACGTCACGAGCACAAATTAAGTCGTCGGCGCTGTTGAATTTATCCGCGTTTATGAGTCCTGATCTATTGAAACTGGGCATGTTTCTTAGTTTAGATGAGTTACTTGTCCTAAATACTTCAGTCACCTTTCTAGGGAAGACCTTATTCCTCTTGTGAGTATTGTTAGAAGAATCCATCTCCAAGTCGGAATTTTCAAGAATACCGAACAACACGAATTCAGTATCTGCAGTTTTCGAATTATTCGAACAGACGCTATAAGACGTTGACACCGTCATTTTACCGACAATACAGGGTCTGCTATCTCTAACCTCGTGATCCTTTAGTCCATTCTTTGCGGAATGGAATAAATAAACGTAGCTCCAAGCCTGATTGTCTGATGAGGCGACCTTCGACGAGCTAGCTACATAGATTTCCTTCTCGTTGTCCACCGAGAAGACGAAGTGAAGATTTCCTTCCTTCCATGTGAACTGAAGCATTCCCTGACAAAGCTGTGTGGAAGCTGAACCCGAAGAAGACTGGTCGGAACATATAGAACTCGTGCTCGGAGTAGGAAAAACCCTCTCGTTCCTTGTGTTAGATCCATCTTGATCACTTCCGTTTGTCAGTTTATCATTTTCTAGCTTCTTCAACGAAGATATATTGACGCCACCGAGAGAGTCTACAAATTCGCTGTCTGGGAAGCCTTTGATATCATTCAAGTCCATTCTTACGATGTTCGATGTGCTATCTGTGATACCGAGTTGTTGCAATAAAGGGCTCTTCAATATGTTGATCATGCTCTTACTTCCCATAATTGAACCAACAAACGACAGTTTGCTCGAGGTTACGTCCTCGTTGCCATCAACGCCTGTCGACGAGCATGCAATAACAAACTTTTCCAAATCACCCATCGCTCTCGTTCTTAATCTAGTCGTACTCAAGCTTTCAGTCAAAGCATCAGTCTTCACCGAGCTCAAGTTTATAGATGCATTACATCGTGCAGCCTTCGATGCACTGATCTGTATCGATTCCAAGCATCGTCGTAGATATTTCTCATCTGTTGTCAGCATATACTTCGGAACGTTATAGTCTAATCCTATCTTACAGTTAAAAAACGAATCGTGAACATAACTCTTACTGATTCGGTATTGCTTCAACTTCAAATATAATGCATGAGGCAGCATTACCCTCTTATTCAACCCTCTCGATATCGACTTCGACAGACCCAATTCATCATTTTCTAACAACTCATCCTTGTTTCTGTTACGGAAAGAACCAATTTCACTTCGTCGATCAGTCTGGGTGTTGATAGACGACGTTGGTTCCATATTCTATTCTCCCCAGTAAAGTAAGGATCATGAATGGCTGAAAAATACCTTCACAACCAAACTGACCTGTCTCTCTCTGCTCAAATCACATATTTCTTAAGGCCTAAACACAAAAATTGAAAGAAGTCTCATCAGATCCAGCAAACAATCATTTCATCTTCCCTCTCGTCCTCCATAATCAATCATTTTAAGGATTGACTGTTTAAATTTGAAGATGAAAGCTGTTCTAAATCTCCTAAATCAAGAACTTATATAGAGGGCTTGAACTGGGTAAGAACAAAGGCAATCTAGAGCCAAATGATTGAAAAATACATGAAGAATCAAGCTAAAAAACTCCATCAAGCTTAACAATGGCTTCCGATTGTTTCCAGAAGATGGGATAAACTCAAGCAAATAACGAAGAACAAGGAAAAATAGGGCAAAAGATTCAGTGTTTCTATAACCCCACAAGAGAAAGTATAGATTTAAAGGCTAAACATGATTAAGAGAGATAAACCCACAAGCCACTAAGTGTTTATAGAAAGTAGCCTCAATAAACAAGTACAAAAGGAAAAGAGTAGCATAATCATAACAATAACAACAGCAATAAACAAAGCATTTCCTCAAGAATTGGATCCAAGGAGAACCAAAACAGCAATCCAGCTCAAACCAATCAAAGAATCAGAAAGAAACAGAGAAACCCACAAGAGAAATCACCTTAATCTCCTCGAAATCCTCCAAACATTGAAGTTCTAGGAGCTTCAAATCAATGTTTTAAACAGAACCAAGTTCGCAGAGGATAGGATTTATGGCCCTAAAACTGCAAAATCGTTTACATTCCTGTAGAACAACACAGCCGTTTCGAATAAAAAAGGGTGGGGTTTGTGAAGGGAAGGCACGTTCTGAGTTTCAAGGTCAATGAACAAAAATGGCGGTGTTTAAAGGTCCCACAGCCATGGCTGGAGCGAATTCTTTCGCACTCAGAGCGACCCAGGTTCAGAATCTGCTAATTTGGAGAGGGAATGAAAATGATGATAAAAGATAAAAAAAAAATTGCGGGATTGTGAGCTGGTGCGCATATGAGCCCACTATGTAAAATGGAGCCCACTGCCCGAATTGCTTTTCTAGAACAGAGAATTTGAGAAAGAACAATTTCTTTTTAATTATAAAATAAAATTTTTAATTTTTTTTAGGGTCAAATTTGCCATTTAAAAATATAAATTTTATTTTAATTATTAAAATTGTTTTCAATAATTTGAAAAATTCAAAGCTTGAAACGATTCTTCAATATTCAAATAGTTTCTCACCGAACATTCCTCGATTTTTTAATTTATGAAATATTTTAGTGTTATTTTTTTCAAACTAATTAAAATATGTATTTTTTTTTATTTATTAAATTTTAAAAGGACAAACGAATAATTTGACTAAGTTAATTAAAATATGTATTTTTTTTTATTTATTAAATTTTAAAAGGACAAACGAATAATTTGACTAAGTTGCGGTCAACCAGCCAATTGGTGACGGTCTTTTACATCACAGTCCGTGAGTTTAGCCTCCGTGAAGGTACGGACCTTTTTTTTTTCTTTGGAAAAATTAACTTTTAAAAAATAAATTAATAGCTCTTGTTGTATTTAAAAATTAAATACTTTATTGCAGATGTTAAAATTAATTGATACCGACTCTTCTTATTGGTCGAGAAAATTCAAGATTATTCGGAGAAAGGCACGTGGTTTTAAGACAATCGTAATAACTAGTTAGGGTTTTATGCGAGCATACCCTCCTCCGGCTCGTATTTAAGGATTGAGTTAGAGTTTTTTTTAGAGAAGCTCGGACATTCTTATTTGGTTGGTCGAGTTGACCTACCCACTAGTTAGGGTTTTATGCGAGCATACCCTCCTCCGGCTCGTATTTAAGGATTGAGTTAGAGTTTTTTTTAGAGAAGCTCGGACATTCTTATTTGGTTGGTCGAGTTAACCTACCCAACAAAATGTCAACTCTGTTAGACGAACACGACTCTCCACAATGGTATGATATTGTCCACTTTGAGTGTAAGCTCTCATGGCTTTGCTTTGGGCTTCCCAAAATGCCTCATTCCAATGGAGTTAGTATTCCTCACTTATAAACCCATGATCATTCCCTAAATTAGCCGATGTGGGACTTTCATCATCCAACACCTCCCCTCGAACAAAGCACGCCTCCCCTTAATCGAGGCTCGACTCCTTTGGAGTCTTAGTCATTTTTGACTGCCTTCGTACATTAGAGGAGGCTTGACTCCTTTTGGAGTCCTTTGTTCGACATTTAAGGATTTGCCAATCTATTGGCACGGCTAAGTTTAGGGCATGGCTTTGATACCATGTTAGACGAACACGACTCTCCACAATGGTATGATATTGTCCACTTTGAGCATAAGCTCTCATGGCTTTGCTTTGGGCTTCCCAAAAGGCCTCATTCCAATGGAGTTAGTATTCCTCACTTATAAACCCATGATCATTCCCTAAATTAGCCAATGTGGGACTTTCATCATCCAACAAACTCAACCCTACATTTCATGATTTGGATTGAGCAGTATGAGTCGATCGAGTTCTCCAGTCATTTAAACACCCTAGTGCAAACTTGATTAAAATTAGATCGAGCCTTTGGGTTCATTGGACTTGACTGCACCCAACTCGAACAACCTCAACTCAATGATATCAATTTCTTTCTTTGGGTTCATTGGACTTGACTGCACCCAACTCGAACAACCTCAACTCAATGATATCAATTTCTTTTATAATTATTTTCATCGTCTACCCTACGCAATAAATACGACATATAATTAGTATTTGAAAAACTATAGAGGCAACTTGGACATCTATTAATGCACTATTATTTATTTATATTAAATTTCAAAATTAAACCCATGGTGTGGATTATTGAAATTGGTGAATTAATATGGTGCGTGACAACCACATTATTTGGTGGACTCGTGAAATAAATTAAGTTAGTTATTTAAATATGCTCACATGTAGTCTATATATCGATATACCCAAACTCTATTTCATCTATATAATATTTTATACATGTTATTTAATATTTGGCCAATAACTTTATGATAACAATAATTTATGCATATGTAGGTTTTTTTAATTAAAAAAATTAACATTTAAATTTTCAACGTCATTAAATTAAATATTATCTTCAATAATTATATTTCTTTTTATACAAATACTTTTTTTTTTCAACGTCATTAAATTAAATATTATCTTCAATAATTATATTTCTTTTTATACAAATACTTTTTTTTTTAATTGTCCTTATTTTTATTATATATGTTTTTTTTTAATATTTAAATTTTTGGCCAAATTTCACAAACAAATATATATTTTTTTCAAATCTTGATTTATTAGACAATAAATCAAAGAAAATTTTATTTATAAACTTAAAAATATTGATTTAATTGGTGTATTTTTTATTATTATTTATTAATAATGAACGTTAATATATTTTCAAATAAGCTAATTATGCACTAAAGTTACTTATTGGGCTACAATAATGTACCGATCACATCATTTAATTGACTGTATAACTTTGTTATCAAATTTTAAATCATAAATTAAATAGTGATGTAATGACATTATAATTGATAGAAATTGGAGGATGTTTCGAAATTAAAAAAATTGATATAATATATTGTTACACGTGTGGACATTTAATTAGTGGGGCCCACTTTAAACGGGAGGCTTCCTACTAGCTAAAATCTAATTTTTGTTATCCATATGTTTCGTGATTATTTATAATTAATTTTTTGGTTTATAGAAAAAGTGTATTAGTGTTTGATATCAAAATTATATTATTGCAGTTAAAATGAGAAAATTCTACTCATAAAATCGATTTATATAATTAGAGATACCTCTATTTTTTCTAAACGTAATAATAATTATTTTTTTAATAAATATTTATATCGTTAAAAGTCGTGTCTATACTTGTAATAAATTATACCTTATAATTAAAAAAATTATATATATATATATTAATAAATTTTATTTAAATTTTTGAAATGTTGTCAAAAGGGCATTTATTTCATAAAGCCGGCCCGACCCGCCGGTTTGGATTCGTTGAGTAAGACAGTTTTTTTGGTTGGGTGATGGGCGTTGAGACATGGAAAGGGCAATTTTTGTTTTGTTGTTTGGGGTCGGATTAGACATAAACATGTAGCCATCAGTCAAGCCTATGTGTTTGAAAATTTGAAGCTAAGTCTTCCTCTTTTGGTTGCCTTCATTTCAAACCATACCTAACTTCTTCTTTCATGCATGTCTTTTTCAACTAAAATTTAGTCACTTTAGTTAATTGGGGTTAGGTATCTGAAACTGAATCGTTTGTTTTTCGTTTAAGTTCTTGTCTTCACAAGCTCGTTATTTGGGACCTGGGTATCTAAGATTGAAGCGTTTGGTTCTTGTTTAAGTTTTTATCTCCATAAACTCGTTATTTAAAATCTGGGTATTTGAGATTGAATCATTTGTTTTTGTTTTGGTTAATTTTCGTGATTATGATTTTGTTTTGAACTGGTAGATGTTGTCGTCATGAGCTAGTTGTCGTCATGTGTTGAACAAGTCTAATAGTGCTTTACCTTTTAATTAATTATAATCCCGATTTAATAACTATTTAGATTTTGAAAATTAATTCGGGTAAACAATACATAAATTCGATAATAATTTTTTTTTTTGATATGCATCCATTAAATTGAGTCAAATAAATTAAATTTTATGGATAAAATTAAATTGGGCCGGGTCAACGTTAAATATGGATTTTAGTTCATAGTTTGGGCCGAATGACAAGATATTCAGGGAATCCGGCCCATTTATTCTAAGCTTTTGAAAATCCCTAGTATCATCTAGCGGAACCTCTTTTCCCCGATCTCTCTCTCTTTCGCTCCCTTTCCTCTCGCGCTGCTGGTTGCCGACTGTCCAGCAGTGCCGTCCGCCGTCTGAGAAAATCCTACTGCACCGCTACTCCACTCATAAACCCTAGTTCTCCGCTAAAATGAACTGCTCTAGTAAGTTCTCCAATTTTTCATTGTCTCAAATTCATTGTCTTGCTTCTTCAATTTGTGCTGATCTCTGTTATTGTTATGTTTGATTTGCTCTACAGTCTCCGGCGAGATTCCGGAAGAGCCAGTTGTCTCTAAGAATTCTGGATTACTCTTCGAGAAGCGGTTAATCGAGAGGCACATTTTAGTATGGCTTGTTTTTCTTTCCCTACCACTCAACTCGTTTCTCCTTTCCCTTTTAGGGTTTTTTGACTTTGTTTTTAGTTCACTCTGCGTAATGGGAGGCTGGTTTAGCTTGTCACTTTGGCTTTCTGTTTCTTATGCGTGGTTTTCGCCTGTCTTTGGCTCGCGGAACTACATTTTCTGAATTTATGGGGGTTAAGGTCTGTTTGTTCTTTTGTAATTTATTTTTTAAAGAATTAGGATACTTCATCCGAGGTCATTCATCGCAGCTGAGGATACTGAAACGTATGACAGTTCAGTTTGAATTTCCAAAGTTGTAATATGTTAAAAACTAATACACGCCTTCAAAGATTTATTTTTTGAAATCTGGTCATGTTATAAACACAATTCAAATGACGGCAGTTTTCTCAACTCAGAAAGAAAGCGTATTCCTTACTTTCCTAGTACCTTTTTTTCTATCTGTTTGCAACTGGAACTTCTTTGTCTTTAAGGAATTACGAAGGACCTTGTTTCTTCGTTGTTACCTTGGTTCGCAGCTCATTGGTTTAGCCTCGTTTTTATGGTTCCACGTTTCTCCCTTCTCTGCCTTATTTTCAGGACATGTTTTTGTTAGAATCATCGTCTATAACCAATTAAGTTTTCTGATAACTTGATGTATGTTTCTACTCTGAAAATTCTGTCGGCTGGTTTCAATTTGAGAATGGTAGAACAGATACATCAAGTGACAACATTTTAGAGATTATATCTCACCTCACTTCAAAAGATAATAGCTTTAGTTTTTGGGTTGTGGTTACTAATAATTACTTATCTTTTAGTGACTTTGAATTAAATCTTATAAGAGTGATAGGTGAAGATGGAGTAGGGGAAGGAGGAAGGGTAGTGATTGTTGTATCATTTTCTATTGCCTATTGCTGCTGAACATGAATAATGAATCCTTCTCTGCCTGATATCATTTATAGACACGACCTAATAATCCTCCTCAAGTTTTGAGCAATTTACTCCAAGGAATTTTAATTTAAGTTCTGCAATGTTGTCTTGCTTTTATTGGGATATTCTTAGAATTATTTTTGAACAAAATAATATTGCATTTGATTAGTTTAATTGTTTGCATTGCATCACCAGGACTATGGGAAATGCCCTGTTACAGGCGAACCTCTTTCCATTGATGACATCGTTCCAATTAAAACTGGAAAGGTAGGAAATATCTCTAATTTTATTTAGTTCAATTCCTAACATTTTTGGGCCCTTCTGCATTTCTCTGTAAAACTTGTGTGTGGAATATTGCATGTCGGTGTGGATTTGGACAAACAATGGCCAATTGGTATGTTGAGTGGTCTGTAATGGAATATTGCATGTCGGTGTGGATTTGGACAAACAATGGCCAATTGGTATGTTGAGTGGTCTGTAATCTGCCTTACTCTATTTGATGAAGCTAAAGAGTGCAGGGGTTAAAATGCTAGAGACATCAGATAACCTAATATATTTTCCATCTGAGTGTATTTTTTTTTTCTTTCTAGTTTCCTTCTTTAACTCATTATTTTTTCTGCAGATAGTCAAGCCCAGGCAAGCTGCTAGCATCCCTGGAATGCTTGGAATGTTCCAGAATGTATGAAATTATGGTCTAGTTGTACTTTTGATCATTATTCTGGAAAATTCTATATTTCATTCGTGTAATCATGGAAAATTATATATTCTTCATTTCTGCTTTTCATGGATTTTGGTTTATCTTGTGATGTATCGTGTATGGTGTATGTGGCAGTATAATATTTTATGTTAAACTTTTTATCAAGTTACATCTTACACCCCCATTTCTTGAGTAAGCATGGGGTGCAATTTAGTGAGAAAAAAGTGAATGTTTATCATATTTATTTTCTAGTAATTTATCTCTAGCAGGTTATGGCCTTATATCCTTAGGTATTGTGTACTTGACGATTGCCATTCTTTAAGCCTATGTGTCATCATTTTTAGGCGTTCATGTTGAAATTTGATTGCTAAGCTATTTTCATGTATTATATAGGTTGTTTAATATGCATTCTTCTTTAGAAACTCTGTTGAAATTTAAGCTATCTTATGCTTTAAGTTCTAGGATGTATTTCATTAATTATTATTTCTATTTGATTTGTTGGTTCTAACATAAAATTGTGTTATACTTATTTCTCTGTGTTTTTTTTAATCCTGCTATTACATATACTGTTTTCTTTTTAAATTAAAGTGAAAAATATGATTTTTCTGTAATGATAGGAATGGGATGTTTTGGTGCTGTCCAATTTTGCACTGGAGCAACAGTTGCATACAGCCAGACAGGAACTTAGTCATGCCTTATATCAGGTATATAATCTTTTTGTAAAAATTCATCAAGTCCCGATTTCCAAGTGTGCAGAAAACTAATGTATCTGTTATTTCAACTTAGGTATTGTAACCAATGTGTAATACCTCTTTGTTGATTTCATCTTTGTTCCATAATTCATCACCATGGACATTTTTGCTACTTGGTTTATATGTTAGACACATTTATGTTTTGCTACTTGGTGAAGTCATGGTGAGGTGACTTATGTTACAAGTCTAACTTGGTTTACTATCTTTTATTTCTTATAGCATGATGCAGCCTGTCGTGTAATTGCAAGACTTAAGAAGGAACATCCAATGCTGCTGTCAATGTTAATGGCAAAAGAGGTTTGTCTTTTCAATCATCCCATGAGCGGGATTTCATGAATTCTCTGGTTCTGATTTGCCTTGATTTTTCTTTGTGTCAGTTAATGAGGATGAGGAATTGGGTCCTGATGGGAAGAAACTACGTCCAGGAATATCAGCCACTGTTATCTCTGAGCTCACAGATTGTAATGCTTCCCTTTCACAACAAAGGAAGAAGCGGCAGGTATTTGATGACAATAAAAATTTATTCAAATATCATTATTTCTTGTTAAAGAAAAAGAGAAAATTGGTGAATGGATAACGTGAATGTTTAAGATATTAAGGTTTCCATGTAATGTGCATTAACTCATTATTTGGTTCTTTGTTCTCAGATACCTCCTACGTTGGTTCCTGTTGAGGCTTTAGAAAGTTACACCCAGATTTCTAGTCATCCACTTCATAAAACAAACAAACCAGGGATTATATCTCTTGACATCAATCATGAGAAGGTACGATTCTCAAGTGCATCAGCCTATATTAGCTTTCTTAAATTAGTGTTGTATGGCCTTCATTTAAACAATTCCTTGAAGTCATACTTACAAGTGTGACTAACTATTTTATTCAATCTAACCAATGGGCTTTTTTGGGATGAAGAATGGGACATGCATGCATTAAAAATTTGTGTGACAGTTCATTCCTTTTGCTTCGTTTTTCCCTTATAATAATTAGAACTTTTAATTAAAAATTTGTGTGACAGTTCATTCCTTTTGCTTCGTTTTTCCCTTATAATAATTAGAACTTTTATGCCATAAAATAAGAATAGTTCAAATATTTAGAATGATTCATCCTTTTTTTTTTTTCTCTCCTTTTCGGTGAAAAGTGAAACTCATTAAAGTTAAGTGGACATAATAAGTTAGTGATAATTTTGTCAATAATTTTGCAGTCATTAATTTAATCATGATAAGCTATTCTAGTAACAGTTAGTGATAATTTTGTCAATAATTTTGCAGTCATTAATTTAATCATGATAAGCTATTCTAGTAACATATGTGATTTTAAGCATGGGGATCATGTCCACATGCCTAATAATCGAGCCATGTCTTAAAAACCTTCTATCATTCGTTGTTCATCTTGTTATGATGATTGATTATGCGTCTGCATGATGGTGAGTTAAAGGTTGATTTTCCTTTTTGATTTTTTGAACAATTGTATTCTAGAAAAACAATAGCCCTCGTCAATACTAAATCCTAAATTTTTTTGATTTTTTGAACAATTGTATTCTAGAAAAACAATAGCCCTCGTCAATACTAAATCCTAAATTTTCTCCCCAGTCAAGAAATTTCATTTTGCTGGTTTTAGGATGTCATTGCGACTGGAGGGCTGGACACAAATGCTGTTCTTTTTGGTCGATCATCTGGGGAGATTTTATCTACACTGAGTGGTCATTCAAGACACAAATGCTGTTCTTTTTGGTCGATCATCTGGGGAGATTTTATCTACACTGAGTGGTCATTCAAAGAAGGTTGCTGGATAGTACATCCAAGTGCTGGAGCTATTTATTATTAATATTATTTGCTAATGAGAATATTGAACGTTGTTTGTTTAGGTAACAAGTGTCAAATTTGTCACCCGAGATGATTTTATCTTGACTGGTTCAGCTGACAAGGTGAGTTTTTTTCATTATGGTTTTGAGAGGAAAAAAGTTTCTGTTTTTGATTTTATGTTAAAAAATTTCTGTTTGCAATTTTTGAGGCTGCCAGGCAACTTCCGAAGAAGATCACATTTTCATCTTTGGCTGAGCATAGTCAATTCCTAACCAGATTTAATTAATTTTTGTAAAACAAATGAACTGCTGTAATCCTTAAATTCTTGGTAGCTAAGTAGTAGTGCTAGGTTTAATAACTTCAACATATAAATGAACTGCTTTTGCTTTGGTCCATAAATTCTTGGTTCTAACTGTGTTTAAGCCTTAGGTTCGTTTACTTTGGCTTCATGGACATAGTTATTTTAACTTAACCAGGATGATCATGCCATACCGTATGAACTATTTTTATTATTTTTCCAATCTAAACTCTTGCTATTTTTCTGGATTGAATCTGAGAGAAATAAGAACTTCTATTCCTAATTGTGTAGACTGTCCGTGTGTGGCAACCATCTGATGGCGGGAACTATAATTGTAGACACATTTTAAAGGATCACACAGCTGAGGTAAGTCAAATTTAATTCAATGGTCACTAAAATCATTGATTATTGCTGATTACAACTGAAGCAAGGTTAAAAAACTCCACCAAGTTATGTGTGACTGGTTGTGTTGTCCCAATTGCTAAGAGTATGATAACAATCTATGAGACCAAAGAATTATTAAATAGGAGCTGAATGGTTCTGATTTTGTATGACTTAATTTCATGCCTTAATGCAGTGTAAAGGAACCTCAACTTTCTAAATCTTACAGGTCCAAGCTGTTACCGTCCATGCTACCAACAACTTCTTTGTTACTGCCTCCCTTGATAACACATGGTGTTTTTATGACCTTGCTTCAGGATTATGCCTAACCCAGGTTAGTAAGGTTCTTAATTTTTCATTACTGTAAGTTTGTTTACTACAATGTCTTAAATGTATTGTGATTACTTGACTCGACATTTTTATGTCCACAGTATTTTGTATGCTCTAGGTGCTAGGTCTTTTATGTTTTGTTTCTGAAAGATTGATGATTAGCTGTCGATATATTTCCAAATATATGATTTAACTGTCAATTGGTTAGGATAGGTAAAGGTTTTGGATTCGGTTAAGAACTTTTCCGCTTTCTAAATTTATTGGGATTCGATATCATGTAGACAAAATTCCTCAATATTGAAGAGTGGTCAGTAGGTCATAGAGTAATCATTGACCTATACATAACACTATTATAAGCAATTATTGAATACAAGGGCACTAAAGAGCCTTAAAACGTATGTTCCTCAAATCTGATGTTCCACATTTAGTCTCCTTTAAAGAACGATTATTGAACACCAAATATGGTCATAGAATTGATTGAACTATTGAGGGAAAGAACTTATCTAAATAATGTGCTGTGCTGCCGGCCAAACATATTGTTGAGAATAAGTTTGTGTTTGCCATTTGACTAACATGTCAAGTTTTGGGCTAGTGGTAGGGTCTGAAAGTTGTCTGCGTTTTGTAGGCAATGTACAAGGGTCTGAACTGTTCCCATGTTAAGCACGTACAAGTTACTTTTAGGACAATCACAAGTTTCTTTTCTGAAATAATGTTCTATTTTGCAGTCACACATGATCAAATAAAAATAGAATGTTGTAGTTTTTAATAAAGGACACCCATTGGCATTTTTATAACCCATTTTTGGTTGGCTGGAAATGGGTATGGATGTATGGTTGGGTTATTACGTTTCCAAGAAGTGGAATGTTAAGGCTGCCATCGATATCTCAGTTATGCTGTAAAATGATTCATGTTGTCTATCTCTGCTTGAATTATAGGAATTTTATCTTACCCACCGCAGGTTGCAGAGGCTTCAGGAACGGAGGGCTACACATCTGCTGCCTTTCATCCTGATGGACTCATCCTTGGAACCGGCACGTCAGAGGCCCTTGTTAAAATTTGGGATGTAAAAAGTCAGGTGTGAGATTTTCTTACTCTTGCAAGATGCATTCCCATATCCCTAAATTCATACACTCATTTCTGTAATGTTTTTGCTTACAGAAAAATGTTGCTAGATTTGATGGACACGTTGGGGCAGTGACAGCTATATCATTTTCTGAAAATGGTTACTTCCTTGCGGTATGTGTTAAATTGTTACAATTAAGGGTAATGTTTAACTAGACATAACTGCAACTAATAAATATCTAAACTGCAGACTGCAGCTCATGATGGAGTAAAGCTGTGGGACCTTCGAAAATTGAAGAACTTCCGTACATTTGCACCTTATGATTCAGAAACTCCAACAAACTCCGGTATGTTTCCTTTTGTGGATGCCGAATGATATAAGATTTTACGATTTCTGTAGCATCTTTTCGATTAAGCCCGACATTTATTCGTCTTGCTTGTTGGAATTTCTGAACATCTGTTTCTGGTTCTGTAGTGGAATTTGACCATAGTGGATCTTACCTTGCAATTGCTGGCTCAGATATAAGGTAAGCGTTTGACCCTTGGAATTACTTCTAACCTTCCCCCTATTTATTATTGGAAATATGAACGAACCAAATGCTTTTTAGTTTAAAAATCATCCCCCCATCATCCTCATTCGATTCTTCCTGCAACGATAGAGAACAATAAGCTAGGAAGGTTTATGTATTACTCATTTTTAGTTCGTCAGCAATTTTTATAACGTTTAATGTTGAGGCTTTAACATGCAGAGTTTACCAAGTTGCTAGTGTGAAATCTGAATGGAATTGCATCAAAACTATTCCAGATTTATCTGGCACAGGTACCACAACATTACAAATAACTGTAACTATATAATACAAAACTGGCGCTGATGAAAATTCGGGTTCTACTTCTTTTCAGGTAAAGCAACCTGCCTAAAATTCGGAACGGATGCAAAATACTTGGCAGTCGGATCCATGGATCGAAATCTTCGGATTTTTGGTGTGCCTGGGGAAGACGGGCCGATGGAGACATAAGTTGAAATTCTGGAAAAGATGAACGCTAGCTTCCCGTTATATTTGACCAATTACAGGTTTGAATTATGAAATTTTAAAACCAGATTATGAAGCAGAGGCATCTTTTAAAGATTCTCCAGCAAAATTGAGGGTTACAACACCCAGATCAAAAATTTCACCAATTTGTTTTCTTGTAGTAAGTTTGAACTAATCTCGTTTCTATGAATGTATGATTTTGTTGAGTAAAAAGATTATGTAGCTGTGTCACCTTCAGGTAGTCATAGAACTGTTAATATACGCTGACATTTTTTATTGGCCGTTCTTTTGCATTTTGGCAGTGAAAAAACTTTAATAGAATTATCCTTATTACTGTTCGACATTTGCTTTAATATGTTCATTGTTACTGTATTTTAAATTGAATATTCAGTTTGATAATAATGTATTTGCTTACAATTATGTATCTCTCTTACTCTTTATCCTATGGTTGCTTAAGACTAAATTTCCAGATCCAATCTGCTTCATACAAAGCATGTGCACATTTTCATTCTCTTCTGGAGAAGCGACGATCGAGACGGGTCTTCATAGAAGACAATTCTTACAAAGAAAAAGACGTACGGTTGCGTAAGTACGATGGGAAATTTATATTTATATTATTTTTCATGGTTAGAATTTACTTTCTGAAAATGCCTGCTAAGCATCATGTAGCGATCACGGGTAACATGTTTTGGATAAAGCATAAGTTTCCAAAGTTACCAAATGTGTCACATGGTCCACTAGTCCATTCGACTTGTTTTCAAATACACATTTAAAGAGTTAGAATTGTCTCGACTCGGGAAGAATTTTAAATTTGATCCCTACCCCATTTATTGAATTTTGGAGGGTATACGAGAATATCCGATTTGTTTTTAAGAAATTTAAGAAATTTTCATTTATAAGAGGGGAAAAGTAGTTTCTAAAATTATTGACAATTTTTTTTTTTATCAATTAATAAATATAATAAATAATTAAAAAAATTTCCATTTCATTGAAAATGAGACTATATAAGAACAATTGTAACGCCTGCGTAGAGATAAAAAGTAGTAATAATTCCATGTGATGCAGAATATTTTTATTATTTTCATTTATAATAACATTAAGTTTAAAAACAGTAGCAGACAAATAATAAATTTCTCTTAAATGATTTTTTTCTTAAAAAAAAAATAATAAATTTCAATTTATTTTTTAAAAAATATATTCACTATCTCCCTCTCTCTTGGCACTCACAATTATTGCAAAAACTTTCTTACTTCAAGGAAGCTTTAAATGATTCATGAGTGAAACATGGTGTTAGTTCAAGTTGAATTTAAGAGCTTCATTCCACTTAATAAGATCATTACATTAATCTCATTCAAACCTTCTTTGAAGGGGAAAAAAATGAAGAAAAAGATACTTCTGCACGTCTAAAGAGGCAAAGCTAAGCCAAAGTGGGCGGCGAATGGCTGAGGAGCTTCACAAAGCCAAAACCCTCGGCCGCTTTTGAGCACAAAGAGGTATAATCCAACCCATTTTTCCTTTAGAACAATACCCATTTCCCCCAAATCCCCAAGGTTTTAGAGTTCCATGATTTGATGCTTTAATGGGGTTTTCTTCTTTCAATCCTTTCTCTCTTCTTCTTCTTCTTCTTCTTCTTTCCATGGCCTTCTTGTCCTTTTTTGCTCTTATCCCACCTGCACAATCTGCCTCCGATTACACTTCTTTGGTCTACAAGGGTTGTGCTAAGCAAGCCCTCTCAGATCCATCTGGGGTTTACACCCAAGCGCTTTCAGCCCTTTTTGGCTCCTTGGTTTCACAATCCACCAAGGCTAGATTCTACAAAACCACCTCTGGAAGTGGCCAAGCCACCATTAATGGCCTCTTCCAGTGCAGAGGGGACCTCACCAATGGCGACTGCTACAATTGTGTGAGCAAAATCCCTCATATCGTTGAGTCTCTCTGTGGCAAAGCTATAGCCGCCAGAGTCCAACTCTATGGCTGCTATTTGCTCTATGAAGTTTCTGGGTTTGCCCAAATTTCAGGGTTTCAAATGCTGTACAAAACTTGTGGAGCTACCAATGTTGCTGGAAGTGGCTTTGAGGAGCGGCGGGATACTGCCCTCTCTGTTTTGGAGAATGGTGTTGTCAGTGGCCATGGATTTTACACTACAAATTACCAATCTGTTTATGTTTTGGGGCAATGTGAAGGGGATTTGGGGGACTCAGATTGTGGAGAATGTGTGAAAAATGCAGTCCAAAGAGCTCAAGTTGAATGTGGGAGCTCAATTTCAGGCCAGCTCTATCTCCATAGATGCTTTATAAGTTATAGTTACTACCCAAATGGGGTTCCTTCAGGATCATCTTCATCTTCTTCTTCATCATCATCTGGTAAGAACAAACCATAAATGGCTTATAGATTTCAATTCTTAGAACACAAAAGGTTTGTTTTATCTGATAAATTGGAAGTGAAACAGGAGTAAATACAGGGAAAACAGTAGCTATAATCCTCGGAGCAACAGCAGGAGTGGTTTTTGTGGCGATTTGCTTGCTTTTTGCAAGAGGGTTGATGAAAAGACATGATGATGGTAAATAGTGAAACAAAAAACAGATCTGAGATTGCTTTGTTTTGGATTTTAATCTTTGTTTCTGAACTATGAACTATGAACATTGTTTGCAAAATCTTTGTGTGTGCAGATTAATGTAAGAAGAAGCAAAGATTGGATGATGATTCTAAGATCTTCAAAGATGCAAAAACTATTCTTTCTTTCTTTCTTTCTTTCTTTTTATGAACAGAATCTCTCCTTTTTCTCTGAAAATGATGTGATTTTTTGTTGTTGGTCAATTGGGGTTTTGTTTGAATGAATGATATGTATCAAACTAAAGTATTTTTTTTTGCATATAAGTGAAGGAGAAGCAGCTGCTGGCACTCCCCCCCCTCTCTCTCTCTCTCTCTCTCAAACTTTGCTTCTTTTTATCTGTGCCATTCTTCTCTGTTTTCTTACCACTTTTTATGCTTTTCACAAAGTTGCTTCATTTCTTTCTCATCCCAACATATTGTTTTGCACACTTTTTTTCTTTTTTCTTTTCAAGTTGGAGTCTACGATGGCATAATTGAATTCGTTTTGTTCACATCTCGAATGAATGAACAAACGAATTTAAGGGTATGTTCGAAGAAGTTTTGACCGTTTTTACGACCTTTATAAGATTTGTTACGAGGACTTAATCTTCTTTTAATGTAAGTGTATATTTCACTTACAATTTTAGGCTTCTAATGGAATTGGGAAGTATAAATATGTGTAACGCTGCTTTGGATTGTGCAAATGAAGGATTATAGAAAGTTTTGTGCTATATTGAAAAGTGGGTGTAAAAACTTTAGAGCCAGACACTGAGTAGTGTGTTAGCGAAAACGCTGGATCTCAAAGGGAGGACTTGAATTATAACTTCTTATTCCATCGCTAAGATTTATCCAACTAAAAATTCTGAATTGAAGTAATAATATTATTTGACGAACTATTTCAATCTCTCTTTTTTAGTTCCTATCCACCCACATAGTTTTTGTGAATCCATACGATGTTTGTTCTGCCATTTCTTTATTTTTTCTAAAGCGGAATTCTTCATTCTTTTTCTTGATTTAATCTCTCTATTCATTGAGTACTCAATTCAAAATGAGATTACAGACGAAAGAAAGAGGACTTCCATTGCAAGCCCTATCTAAATTCACAGTAGTAGGACGGATTAGATATATCTTTAGTTCCTATATAACTAGTTAATATCTAATATAACATATACATGCGTTTCTTCCCTAACGTAAACCAATTATTCTTCGAAACATCCACAAGGGTTAAAGAAGATGGATTCCCCTCCCGAAGATCAGTCGGCTATCCTATTTTCGTCCCGGGTTGACAAATGCAAATCAAATCCTTTGGTACACAGCTAAGATTAACTAATGCTTTTTCTTTCTATTGCTTTTTAGCGGATGTAGGCGACCGACAAAAAAGGGAGCTTGGTTGAAGTGGAATAATCAATCCTCCGGTCTAGTGAGCGTATATGCCTCCTTCGCCTCCGGCTTCTAGCCTTCTTAGCTTCGCTACCCCTGCCCTGTGGTCCGTCAANGTCAATTGGGGTTTTGTTTGAATGAATGATATGTATCAAACTAAAGTATTTTTTTTTGCATATAAGTGAAGGAGAAGCAGCTGCTGGCACTCCCCCCCCTCTCTCTCTCTCTCTCTCTCAAACTTTGCTTCTTTTTATCTGTGCCATTCTTCTCTGTTTTCTTACCACTTTTTATGCTTTTCACAAAGTTGCTTCATTTCTTTCTCATCCCAACATATTGTTTTGCACACTTTTTTTCTTTTTTCTTTTCAAGTTGGAGTCTACGATGGCATAATTGAATTCGTTTTGTTCACATCTCGAATGAATGAACAAACGAATTTAAGGGTATGTTCGAAGAAGTTTTGACCGTTTTTACGACCTTTATAAGATTTGTTACGAGGACTTAATCTTCTTTTAATGTAAGTGTATATTTCACTTACAATTTTAGGCTTCTAATGGAATTGGGAAGTATAAATATGTGTAACGCTGCTTTGGATTGTGCAAATGAAGGATTATAGAAAGTTTTGTGCTATATTGAAAAGTGGGTGTAAAAACTTTAGAGCCAGACACTGAGTAGTGTGTTAGCGAAAACGCTGGATCTCAAAGGGAGGACTTGAATTATAACTTCTTATTCCATCGCTAAGATTTATCCAACTAAAAATTCTGAATTGAAGTAATAATATTATTTGACGAACTATTTCAATCTCTCTTTTTTAGTTCCTATCCACCCACATAGTTTTTGTGAATCCATACGATGTTTGTTCTGCCATTTCTTTATTTTTTCTAAAGCGGAATTCTTCATTCTTTTTCTTGATTTAATCTCTCTATTCATTGAGTACTCAATTCAAAATGAGATTACAGACGAAAGAAAGAGGACTTCCATTGCAAGCCCTATCTAAATTCACAGTAGTAGGACGGATTAGATATATCTTTAGTTCCTATATAACTAGTTAATATCTAATATAACATATACATGCGTTTCTTCCCTAACGTAAACCAATTATTCTTCGAAACATCCACAAGGGTTAAAGAAGATGGATTCANATTCTTCGAAACATCCACAAGGGTTAAAGAAGATGGATTCCCCTCCCGAAGATCAGTCGGCTATCCTATTTTCGTCCCGGGTTGACAAATGCAAATCAAATCCTTTGGTACACAGCTAAGATTAACTAATGCTTTTTCTTTCTATTGCTTTTTAGCGGATGTAGGCGACCGACAAAAAAGGGAGCTTGGTTGAAGTGGAATAATCAATCCTCCGGTCTAGTGAGCGTATATGCCTCCTTCGCCTCCGGCTTCTAGCCTTCTTAGCTTCGCTACCCCTGCCCTGTGGTCCGTCAAGAGAAAGAAAGAAAGAAAGGGTTGGCTCATAGGTGAAGCAAAGAAAGAAGATAACCTTACCCAGTTGTGCGTTAAGTAATTACCATTCCATAGCGGATTATAAAGAAAGAAGATGGATTCCCCTCCCGAAGATCAGTCGGCTGTCTTATAGCAATTCGATTCAATACATCTAGTAGACTCCACTCTACCCTAACCAATCCTTTTTTCTCGTTTTTTGTAAACCTTTTTTTTTACATCTAGTAGACTCCACTCTACCCTAACCAATCCTTTTTTCTCGTTTTTTGTAAACCTTTTTTTTTAGAATTATCCCACATGTAGACAATCAATCTAAATGGAGGAATTCATTAGTCCGAATCCTTGCATAGAAATATAAATATTTGATTAATCTAAGTTCATGTAATTTATTATTTTTTTCTTTTGTTTAATCATTGAGAGGAAAAAGATCTTTTAGATCTCTTTCCTTTTTTTACAATTCCCGAAGAATAGCGTAATCTTTTTTTTCCTATTACTCTTACTCCCTAGATAGTATATACCTTCCGTATTTTAAAATTATGTTTCAAGGTAATATAGGAATTTATAAAGTATTTTTTAATTTAAAAAGGAAAGGACCCTAATTTGTAGAAGAAAAATGAATAAATAAAATCATTGTGAAAATGGAAGAAATCAAAGGAAAGGACCCTAATTTGTAGAAGAAAAATGAATAAATAAAATCATTGTGAAAATGGAAGAAATCAAATGGAAGTGTTTCTTTTCGTGATCTAAAAACATAATTTTGAAAATAAGGAATTTAGTAAAAATTGAGTTATATACAATTTTAATAATTATTTAAAATAATATTATTTAATTTAAAACATCAAATTTAAAATTGCAATATAATCCTAATATAAAAATATTATTTTTAAAAATTTCACAAGATTTTAGAACAGGTTTAGACATCAATCTTTTATTGAATTTACTTAAATCCAAAACATAAATCATAATGGAAATGGTCTATTATAAATATTAAAAGAAAATGGTTTCTGAGATTCTGAGAGAAGGAACCTCGCCGCCGCCGCCATATTTTCTCTGATCGTCTCTCTCCTCCGTCAACAAACCGAACACTATTTCTTCAACCCAAGTTCACCGCCGTCCGCCGCCGGAAACCCTTCAGTCGCCGACAGAAACCGTCGTCTACCTCCTCTATCCATTCTATTTACCCCTTCCGATCCAACGCTTCTACCCCTGTTCATACATAGCCACATGCCGATCCAAAGCTAAATAGCGAACATGAATGACTTATTCGATCCAGACCCAATACCACCACGAGCGCCACCCCTGGCAGCGGCAACGGCGGCGGCGGGGAAGTCAGATCCTCGCATCATCCATGCCCAAGCCATCAAATCTCCGGCCACCGATCGTTCTGTTTACAACAATCTGATAACTCTCTACGGCAAAGCAAACTTGCTGCACTATTCCGTTCGTCTTTTCGATCAAATCCCATTGCCCAATGTTGTCTCTTGGACTGCACTCATATCTGCTCATTCCAACACGTTTCTGGCTCTTCGCCATTTTGTTTCTATGCTCCGATACCCATCTTTCCCTAACCAACGGACATTAGCTTCTCTTTTCAAGACCTGCGCTTCGCTCCCTTGCGTCTCTTTTGGGCTTTCCCTTCACTCCCTTGCCCACAAACTCTCACTCTGCAGTGAACCCTTCTGTGGCTCTGCGCTTGTGAATTTCTACTCCAAATCTCATTTGTTCGATGACGCCCGTAAGGTGTTCGATGAAATTTCTGACACAGACGAGGTTTGCTATTCTGCCCTCGTCGTTGGTCTGGCACAGAATGCTCAATCCATTGATGCATTATCAATGTTTAGAGAGATGAAAGCTTCTGAAGTTGCGTCGACGATGTACAGTGTCTCTGGTGCCCTTCGTGCTGCGGCTGATCTTGCTGCGCTGGAGCAATGCAGGGTTTTACATGGCCATGCTGTGTCTACCGGATTGGATACTGATGTGATTGTTCAAACAGCTCTGATTGATGGGTATGGGAAATCGGGGCTGATAATTGATGCACGGCAGGTGTTCGAGGAAAGTTTGGGATGTATGAATGTTGTGGGGTGGAATGCGATGTTGGCAAGTTATGCACAGCAGGGAGATAAGAATTCTACGCTTGAGCTATTCAATTCAATGGGATCTTTTGGGCTGTGTCCTGATGAGTACACCTTCTTAGCCATTCTAACATCATATTGCAATTCACGTCTAGTTGGTGAGATTGAACTGTGGCTGAGAAGGATGAGAGTGGAGTATGGAGTGCAACCTACCCTAGAGCATTTTACTTGTCTGATAGATGCAATGGGGAGAGATGGGAAGTTAGAAGAAGCTGAGAGGATAGCCATGACAATGCCTTTTGTGCCAGATGCTGCAGTTTGGCGTGCATTGCTATCGAGCTCCGCAAGCCATGGAGCAGGCGATATGGCATGGGCCATGGCAAAACGGTTACTCGAGCTTAACCCGCACGACGACTCGGCTTATGTGATTGTTGCTAATGCTCTATCTTCTACAGCAAGATGGGAGGAAGTGGCAATAGTGCGGAAGATGATGAAAGAGAGGCAGGTGAAGAAGAAAAGTGGGAGGAGTTGGATTGAAGTGAGAGGGGAAGTTCATGTGTTTTTAGCAGGGGACAGAAACCATGAAAGGACGGAGGAAATCTATGCAAAGCTAAGAAACTTGATTTGGGAGATAGAAAAGCTTGGGTATGTCCCAATTTGGGCTGAGATGCTTCATGAAGTAGGGGAAAAGGAAAAGAAGGAAGCACTTTGGTATCACAGTGAGAAATTGGCGCTGGCTTATGGGGTGCTGGTCGGGGCGGCACCACCTGGAAAAGCTCTACGAATTGTAAAGAATCTAAGAATATGCAGAGATTGTCATCAAGTTTTCAAGTATGCAAGTAGGGTGCTGCGGAGGGAGATTGTAGTTAGAGATGTAAATAGATACCATAGATTTCTAAATGGTAGCTGCACCTGTGGTGACATCTGGTAAAGTTGAAACCAAACAAATCCCTAACTACGAAATGCAAAGGGGATTTAATTTAACCTTCCTATTCATTATATTTGTATCAGATCAATATTCTGCAAATTTGAACACAATCACAATGCGTGCTATATCTCTTCTGTTCTAATTACTTCAAACATTTTCTCGGATTTTCTCAGCAACCAAATTTTACATACCAAGAAGATACGGAAAAGCGAAGAGGAAAATACTTTCAAAGAACTGCAATCCTAGAATCATTATCATAAGAGAAACGAACCTCGACAATTGAGAACCGAAGAAACCATCTCGGCAACGGCGACGGAACTTTGCAAATCACTCGAGTTCATTGAGTTGCTGTTCGCGATCCATCTCGATGATGAGCGGCACAACGAGGATGAGGAATCTAGTGCCGGCTATCCAGGCGGCCTTTCCGTACATTGAATTGGCTATAGATCGAGGACTCGGACACGGAGCGCGATAACCTGGAAAAAGACACCGGCCGCGTTGTCGTTGTCGTCGTCGTCATTGTTGCTGAGCGACAATCGCTTCTTGGCATTGACCGCCATGAGAGACGTAGAGAGGAAGTTGGCTTTCGGGGGATCGAGCACCAAACCGTGCTAACAAACTTTTGGACTTGAATCTTAAAAAGCACTTTTAGTATGGTAAGAAAAATGATCAAATATTCATCTTAAAACACTTCAACCTAAAAAAAAACCACTCTTAATTGCTTTTTAATTTTTGGTGAGATTCCCATATAGATGGATAAACCCTACACACATGAATCAAAAGACCAGAGGGGAAGCCTCTCCTTAACAAAGGCATTTTAAAAACTCTACATACACAATTTAAAAACTCAGACGGGAAGCTTGAAAGAAAAAAACTAAAAAAGGAGAAGGGAAGCTCGAAAGGAAATACTCAAAAAGTAGAATATCTGCAAGTAGTATGAAAAAAACAGACATAGTTTCTAAAAGACGGAGGGCATCAAGTATTCAAGAGTTCAATCCCATTTCATACAACTACAACTTTCATACAATTTCAAACATTTGACAGCACGTTTGTAACTTGAAAACCTCATGTGACTTCATAATAGAATTTTCATTTCCTAGTTACATATGATCAAGCTCCATCGAGCGAGCCTATCTCAATGATTGAATTTATATCATCCAGTTCCTCATCAAGTGTAAAAGTTCAAACATCCAAAACTAGAGTGGTGAGCAAAAGCGATGAAGTGTTTGAACTATTAATCAATAAGTACAAAACCTCTCTTTATATACTCCAAACAAGAAAATGGCAGCTTCAGAAGACGTTCTACTTCAAGGGATTTAGATATCAATGTGTTCATTAATAGATCCCGGTCAAGATACTCACAGTTCATTTCGAAACCTTTGCACACAACCAGAGATGTATTGCAAACCCAGGGAACCGCCACTGTGAATCCTAAACCAGAACTTTCATCAGAAGAACTTCCATCTCCTGTCAGAACATCCTTGTACGCTCGACCGATTTGGGATACATACTTTCCCATTGGCAATATATGTTCAAGAACAGATGGGACAGAGCCATCAGAAGTCAAGAGATCGGAATCTGAGTGAAGATTCACCACCACAGTTCCATGTTTAGGATGAAGTCGCTTGCTGAGAGCTTCAAGAAATGTGGAATTTGGATCCCAGAGTTTGTTCGGGAATATGTCATCTCCGTCGTAAGCATCAATGAAGATCATGTCGTATAGATTGGTCGTGTTGCAGACGAAATCCTCTGCATCTAATTCGTAGAGGAAAAGTCTTTCATGGATGCCTTTCCACATGACATCGTCAATGGATTCGGGTCGGGCAAATGCACGCTCTCCTGATGCAGTCATAACTGAGAACGCTGGGAAGCCCATGGCTTGGATTGAGGCCGAGATAACAAGAGGGTCGATTTCAACTATGTCAACATTGGCACCTGAAAATAACACAAGTATTTGGAACTAGCTTCGTGATTAACCCTTTAACTTTAAAGATCCCAGTTCTATGAACAGAACAAATATATGCTTGATTTTAGAACAGATGTTACTGATAATCAGTCCTTGCCATCATTCTTCGCCATCCTCTATAATCTTGCTACTCGTAAATGACAGTGTGACACTATAAATTGTAACATTTCTAAATTTTATTCAGCTAATTCATTGTGGTGAAGGTCATTGACCAGTAATGCATCAAGTTCATAGATGAGGAAGAAAGAGAACTCTCACCTTGAATTTTACTTGCTAAAAATAGAGGCAAGCTCCCACCACCATGACCAATACATAAAATACGTAGATTTTGTTTTCCTTGGATTGCATTCAAAAGATCATACCCACAAGATGCCATAGTGGTCAACCCAACTGATATCATACTCTTTAGATCTGAAATTTTGAACAGATGAATACATTAGTCATGTTATTGTTCAAATTCCTCGTAAGAGAAGCTTAATTTGATTGGTGGAAGCAATGGTTAGCATTATTGGATCAAGTTTAGAAAATGGGGGGAAAAAATGACGAAATTACAAGGAACAGCCAAACAATGCGCCTGCTGCATGAGGAAAATTGACTCGGGTTTTGATTCCCGGTAAGCAGCCATTACTTTAGCAGTGCTTTGGCGAGTATTGTCATTGAAACGAAGCACTCGCCATTGATATCCAAGAATCCCGAACCTCTCCCCGTTCTTGCAACCAGGGCATAGCTCGGCATATCTTTGCTGAAGCCACCTACCAGTCCCTGGCCAATGAAGCCCATTCTGCATTATTTTGAAAACCAATATCTTCCTCAGGAAACCAGAAATAAAGAAGTCCTTACGAGTAACGATCAAGCTGAAACTTAAGCTATTCAAAGATTTTGAAAGAAAACGCCGCAAAAACTAGAAAAAAAAATGGAAGAACAATCACATTCGAACAAGATTACTACAAATCAAGCCGTCCTTAGATAGAGAGAGAGACTAACAGGCCTGGAGGAAGGGTATGAAAGAACAGAGACGACGCCATTTCCTTTCTCAGATGTTGAACTGAAAACAGTGCGGCCGTCGCCGTCGCCGTCGTAATCGTTCCCCCACCATTCTGAGGCGTAAAACCAGTCTCCCTCGTCCTCGATACGACGGCGAGTTTCCGCTGAAAACCGCCGAACGCCCAGCCCTCGCAAAATTCCGGCTCTACGCCACATCACTCAGGCAAATCCAGGGGCCCAGAATGAGGAATGATCGAAGAATCCATAGCCGAAGCTTGGAGTTATAAACCTCGCAAGCTTCATCGGTCTCTGCAAATTGTGTGAATTAAGGGTTTAAGCGTCTGGTTGATGGAAGCATTGTATCCTGATCTCGAATAGGCGCTATACCTAACCCGGACAAGAATATGAGGCTAAATCCGTAAATTCGTATTATATTTTCAGACTAATAATTTAAAATTGTCGGCAATGTGGATTAAAGAATATGAATAATTTTATAAAATAACCATTCTGGAAATTCGGAAAAAACTTTTTTATTTAATAATTTTAACATTTATACTTTTTAAAAAATCAATCGAAGACAGATTAGTAATAGTTTTTTTTTTTTTTTTTATATATATATAATTATAATTAATTTTCTATTTTGTGTGTAAATTAGGTTTTTAATTATAAATCTAAAATTATTAGCAAATATAGCAAAACCTTATTCAGCATGTGAAATGACGAAAAGCCCCATTAAACCTTTCAGCCCAACTTCTGGTTAGCTCTAAAATCCCGCTTCATCTTCATTTCTTGCTTTTCAAGTCGCCAACCGTCTTCCATATTTCTTCCGATTTCCTCCTTTCGGTTTTCGATTTCGTCGCTGTTGATTCTGAGGTTTTCTTCGCTGATTTCTTCTTCTTTCTGTTCATCTTCGTAATTATTACATGTTTGTTGTTTCACTGAAGTTCATCATGTTTGTTGTTTGTTCTTTTGAAGAATCGCGATTCTCAGCCATTTGAAACTGACTAACTGTGTGCTTGTAGCGAAATTGATCCCGCATTTCAGCAGCCTCGTTTGAGTGGCTTCAGCGTTAATTTTGCAGAGCTTCTCCTCTTCAAGCTCGCGTCTCCATTCCTTTACCAGAGAAGTTACTAGGCGCCATAGCTTCTGCTCTCAAGGTACGCTTTCTTCTGCTTCTGCTCTCAAAGAAAACACGATGCTAATAAATCACCTTCTGAACTACTTCAATTATCCTCCGTCTTATCTTCCATAGGTAAGGAACTGAGTTGATTCATTATTTATGATACATTTTTTTCTACCAATTGGTTTTGGTTTAGCTGCTTACCGATTCTTTATTTTTGTTGTCTTATTTGATTGTGGAATAAAAACTTCTAATGATAAACTTCCAATTGGTTTTGGTTTTGCTGCTTCCTGATTCTTTAATTTAGCTGCTTACCATTGGAAGTGAAGTGTGTATCGGCAATATTTGAAATCACACTTACAATTATTGCAGATAAACTATTAGTGACAGCAGTTTAAACGATAGACTTCACCCGGGCCGCATTCGTTGGGTTAGTTTGCTATTTTTTCTTCGCATTATACTTTCTTCCAAACATGTTTGATTGTTGTTTAATCAAATGAAAGCATTATTGATATTTAGCTATTTAATAGAAAGTGTTGCATTATTGAGGATTGTTGAGAGAGAGTCTAGTTAATTTTTAAGGAGATAATAATGAGTTTATAGACAAGGAATACATCATCAAAATTATTATGCTCAAAGTAAACAATATCATACTGAGGTTCGTAGTTCCTAACATAATATTAGAGTCATGCCGTTAATTTAGTCATGTCAATGTCAATGAAGATTTGTTATTTATGAGAATTTGAAATCAAATTCTAATTTGATTTGATTTTGAATGAAAATGCTTACAAAATGCATAAATGGCAAAGAATCTTGTTTAAAAGGAGGTGACGTAACTAATAAAATTTAGCATATTAGCATAATTTTGAAAAACAAAGAATAATAGAACTATGGTTTGGTTTATTAAAATTCTAAAACAAAAATTTTCATAACTAAACGAATGAGAAATAGAATTGGGAAGGTATGTACTATCATTAATATTCATAACCTTCAAATAAGATACAAATTATCAACTAATACTTATAAATAAGAAAAATTTAAATTAATTAAACATTGGGAATAAAATAATATACACTATAAATGAAATAATATTAATATATAATATCGAAAATATATTTCATAAATAATATACCTCAACATAAACCTTAAACCGTAGATGTAAATAAAAAGAAATAATTTTAGTTTAGGTGAAAAAATAGCCTCCATTTATTGACTAAGGTTTAGGATATAAAAAACAAGTGTCCTAATCACTTTTCGCCACCTCAAATAAGATTTCCCAGATTCTTCATACACTCCAAACAAATAGGGGAAAAAAACTGTTTCAATTGCGGGAAAATCCTCATGAAGATCAAAAAGAACTGAACCCCACCAATCAAGAAACAAAAATCTAAACCCTAAGTCCAAAAATGGACGAGAAGGAATGGGGGAGACGAAACATTGAAATTTGCGTTGGAACCCAATTTGATTCTGTTCTTAACTCAGGAGGAGCAAAAGGTAAAGGCCAATGGGGTCCGCCACTGCGAAGGTTTCAGACAAATGCGCCCTTTGGCGTTCGTTGACCCAACGATCACTTCTGATTTGATTCATTTCAATTTCTGAAAACCCCAAAAGCCGTTTCTCCCTTAACTTGGCGCACTACTCATTCTTTTCTCTCTTTGAAGACACGCATTGAACTCGTGATTTCTGGGTATCTTCTTCTTCTACTACTGCTTCCTTTTCGATGGTTCAAAATCCAACGCCCATATGCCGCATCTCTGTTCCTGAGATGAGGAAGGACCAATCGGCAAGTGGGTTTGATCTAATCTTGGTTTCTTTTTGATCTTTGTGTTCTTGCTCTTTGTGCTGATTTTTGTTGTTTTTGTTGGGCTTGCAAGTCTATCCGAAGGTGAAGGTGAGGGAGGAGAACGAGCTCGATGATCACCCTGCTGCAAATGAGCAGAAGAGAAGTTATCTGTTGTCTTTGAAAGATTTGGAATCACTATTTCTTGAAGACTTGTCGAGTTCTTCAGGTACTCTCTAGTTTCTGGGAATTGTTATAAATTTATGGGTCTGTTTCTGCTTGATCGAAGCATCTTGTGCTGTTGTCTTTGTTTCTAGTCTTTTCGTGTTATGGAAGCTGAAAATGAAAAACCAGAAGTTGACAGTCAGTTTAGGTAGATATATCATAAATTTGAAGTTTAAATGTTGATATTAGCTTATTAGCTTTCTTTTTCAGAACTACATAGAGAAAGGGCATCTTGTTCTGTTCTAGGGACACCAAACTTCAGAGCAAAAGTGTGGAGTAAGTTTCCACCAAATCTGACAGAAAATTAAGGTTCGAGTAACCTATGATTGTCATCGTCAAAAACAACTCATCCCAATTTTGATTTTGAAGATTTTTCAAAACGTACCTTTATCTTTTCTAAACGTTTCAAAAGTATCCTTGAAGTAGAAATCATATAGCTTGTTAAACACGAAACCGACATGGCAGCAACTATAACGCTTGCTTGAATTAGATATGAGAGAATAACATTCAAATACATTAGTTTTTTAGAATAACACCAATCATAACAAATGTTGAATATTTTACTCTCTGAATTTTAACCTGACGGTTTTATTGCAAAAATGTTGGTATTCACAGGAAAGGAGCATCGTGTTTCTCCATCATCCACTGCTAAAGTTCCGAAAGTTTACAGTCCTAATGTAGTAAAGCCATCCACTTCTGAATCTCAAGGTACGAAACTAACATTATATTTTCACCCCTATAAACAAAAAACAGTAGATTTTCGTTCTGTTCTGAGATACCTTTACAACTAAAATATCAGCTATGTTTGGTTTGCTAAAGCAGATAAGAGGTGTAACAAAGTCAATACTAGAGCCAGTTCAATCCCAATGCCTCGTGCCGTCCTATCTAGCCCTGGTATTTCCTATGAACTAGTCTCACTATGATTCATCTCTATGTTTATGGGCTCCTGAGCATCTTTAAGTTAATCAAAATGTGTCTCGTGAATATCATTTTATTAATTGAAGCTTTCTATTCTGTTTTTCTCCAGAAAATGATCTGATGATTGGTAAGAAAAACAGAAAAACAACAGAAAAACCATCAGTCTTGAAGAATCACAATTCAGTTCAGTCCAGACACTCACAGTGTAAGACTGTCGCTAGGCACAGTGTCAATGAAAATCCCATTTGCTTGAGGAAATCCAAGGAAGCTGTCGTCGATAGTAAATGTCGATCGTCTGGGAAGAACGGTGTGGCCTACAGGGACCACAGTTTTACGTCTAAGAAGTCTCCGTAGAAACCAGAGTCCTTGTGGTGATGCTATCATCAAGCATGTAATTAGCTTCTTCCAATAGGGGAGAAATATAAGACTCGAGTCAAGGCTTGCACTGTCTAAATGCTCAACAAGGCAAGAGGTTCCTCGTTCGTAGCATAGCTTACAGATGTTTTGAACTTGAAAACTTGAAATGAATGAAGTTCTAGTAACAGCTCGCGAATTTTTCCACTGACATAGCTATGAAACTGATCTAGACGTGCATTTTTTTTCATCACTATGTTGTTTGCAACTCAGTTTTTTCCATCTCCAGATTCAACAGCTTTAAAACACAACAGATTCTTTCAAAATGTGGGTTCGAACGATCTCCAGAAAGAAAGACGTGTCCGCTATTGTTTATCTCAACCCAACTACAACCTGGTTGTTTCTTAACTCCATTGTTCTTCATTCTTGCCAAAATCCTTTCAGCATCTTCTCGTTTCCCACTTCCCAAATACATTTCTGCTAAAATCAAATACACTCCAGAGTTATGAGGCTCCTTCTCCAGAACCTTTTCACCTGCAATCACCCCTACATCATAATTCTTATGGATTCGGCAAGCTCCTAGCAAAGCCCCCCAAACGCTCGGAGGAACTTCAATTTCCTCCATTTTCATTTCGACTAGAAAACTCAGTGCCTCGTCAATAAGCCCAAATCGCCCGAACAAATCAACTAAGCATGTATAATGCTCGCTCAATGGCTGAATAGAACATTCGTTTTTCATCAAATTGAAATAGTACCTTCCTTGTTCCACTAGACCCTTATGACTACAAGCAGACAGAACACCAATAAAGGTTATATGATTAGGTTCTATGTTAGCTAATCTCATTTTTTCAATCATTTCCAGTGCTTCTTTTCCATTTCCATGGTGAGCAAACCCACAGATAATAGAATTCCAAGAAATTACATCCCTGCTCGACATCGAACGAAACTCCATCAAAGCACAATCCATGTTCCCACATCTTGCATACATAGTAACCATAGCATTTGAGACCGAAACAATGTCACTGAATCCTGCTTTTATAACAAGTCCATGTGCTTGTCTACCAAGCTGCAAAGCTTCCAGATTGGAACAGATCGTTAGAACACTCGTAAATGTAGCTTTATCGAGACGTGGACCTAACCTTATCATTCGAGTAAAAAGCTTCAAACCTTCCTCGCCTCGGTCGTTCTCTCCTAATCCGAATATTGTAGCATTCCATATGGTTGCATCCTTATCCTGGATTGATTCAAAGATCTTCACTGCTATTCCAACTTCACCAATCCCAAAGTACCCCACGATCAAATTAGTCCATGAAACTATATTACCATATGGGGTTTTCTCAAGAACTCCATGAGTATCTTTTACCAGTCCATTCCTTATGTATGCTAGCACAATATTGTTCCATGTCTTTTGGCATTTCTCTGGCATTTCCATAAAAAGTCTCCTAGCATCGTCAACCCTTTGGCTTCCAACCAATCCATTCACTAAACCGTTCCAAGAATCAAAGTTTCGTTCAGGCATTTTCTCAAACAGCTCCTCTGCCATTTCAATCTGCCCATTCTCTATATACCCAGCCATCATGGCATTCCAAGCTCGATCATCTTTCATGGGCATGCTCTCAAAAAGCTTCCTTGCCTTATCAACGCGTCCTGCACGGGCAAGCCCCGAGATCATGATGGTCCACGACACAAGATCACGCCTGTTCATTTTGCCAAAATACTCTTCAGCCGAATCAAGTTTGTCGCAGTTTACAAGCCCTCCAATTATCAAGTTCCAAGAAATTACATCTTTCGAAGGCATTTCATCGAACAACTGTATCGCTTTCTCAAGCAACCCATTTCGAACATACCCCGCAATCATCGAATTCCAACTCACAACATCTCTAAACGGCATTACATCAAAAATATCCTTCGCATCATCAACATCCCCACATTGCATCAACCCAGCAATCACCGTATTATAAGAAAAAATATCTCGCTCTGGCATTCGACGAAACAAGCTAATCCCATCACTACGCCGCCCGTTCAAGAAGTACCCGCGAATCATCGAGTTCCAAGTCACAACATTTCGTTGAGGCATTTCGTCGAACAGTTTCTGGGCTTCTTCCACTAACCCATTTCTCATACAGTTTGAGATCTCGGAATTGAGAGGCTTTAGATTTGAAAACGTGGGTGGAGCATGACGGGCTTGCAAGCAGGAGGTGGAAGTTGAAAGCAAGATTGATGTCCTGCGATATAGAGAGAAAATCCATGTGGGTCTGAGTGCGAATGAGGGCCGAGCTACGAAGAACATTCTCCATTAGCTGCGGAAGGGAAACAGAATCGAGTGGGTAATTTGTACGGTTTTAGCGGATCATATTTCGTGTGACCGTGTGCCCAGTTTATTCTAGTTTAATATAAATATATTTTCAATACATATTTAAAAAAATAATTATTTCGGTAATATTTAAAATAAATAATATTATGTTATAAATTTTTTAATTTTTAAAGACCATAAAATTTAAATTTTTAAAAATGATATGAAACATCTTATATTTATTTGCTCATATATTGATTATATTGGAAAATAAAAATTTTAAAATAACTATTTCTTTTGAATAATAAATGAGAAAAATTATCTGAATAACACTAATCCTTTCAAATTATCTATAAAAATTTCTGTACCCAATGTTTATAAAAATAAATGAAGAATTTTATCGAAATAAAAAAAATTAAATAAGTGACTGAGATGAGAGGAGTAAGACTTTTTCATCTCAGCTCCATAAACATGTAAGAGAATGAAATTGACAGAGCTAGAGCTGAAGTTAGGATACTATTTAGTGTTGGATGATGAAAGTCTCACGTCGGCTAATTTAGGGAATGATCATGAGTTTATAAGTGAAGAATACTAATTCCATTAATATGAGGCATAGCTTATGATATCATACCATTGTGGAGAGTGGTCTTCCTCTAACATTTAGCTCTAAAAATAATATCTTCTAAAAAGGAAGAAGTTAATATTTGATAATAAAATAATGGTAATAAGAGTGGATATACTTATCCAAATGGGGATTTAACATAATCTCACCATTTGCCACCAAGCCATGTCCGCTGGACAACTGAGAGACACTTTTCTGTGAGAAAGGGCGCCATCGCCTTCCACTCTCCACCGATGCTACCCATCTCCTCCCTATCAAATTCTCCCACCATGGCCACCGTCGCCGCCGGAGCCTCCCTTTTCATCACCAAGCGCTGGCTCTCTGATGCTCTCCTTGCAACCCCATCAGCCCTAATGTTTCCCATCTTGTCCGGCTCTCTTGCCATTGAATCGGCCCCGCTTAGAGCTTTCTCGGAGAGGTGGCGGCCGGCTCTGGGAATATCCGCCGCCGTTGTGCAGAGAAAGGCGGCTGTGACATTTGGGGTTGAAGAGGGTGTGGCGGATGAGACGGCGGAGGAGGGAGAAGGGCAAGCGGTGGACGGTGGTTCTCCAGTGGAATCCGGGAAAACGAAGCTGTATTTTGGGAATTTGCCTTACAGTGTTGATAGTTCACAGCTTGCTGACATTGTTCAGGATTATGGGGTCGCCGAGCTCATTGAGGTAGATTGCCTGCAAATGTCACTGATTAGTTTCTACGTTGAATTCTAATTCATGATTTCATTTATATTCATTGGCATTATATGAAAACTTTGCTTCGAAGTCAAGCTCACAAGAGATCTAGTTCATCTTTAGGGTATCGAATCTAGATGTTTTCGAAGAAAATACCTCAAAACTTTGTGGTCATCTTGTTAGGAATCACGAACCTCCACAATGGTATGATATTGTTCACTTTGTGCATTAGCACTCATGGCTTTGCTTTTGGTTTCTCCAAAAGGCCTCATACCAATGGAGATATATCCCTTATAAACTCATAATCAACCCCTTAATTAGCTGACGTGGGACTCCTCTCCCAACAATTCTCCCCTCGAATAAAGTACACCATAGAGCCTCCCTTGAGGCCTATGGAGCCCTCGAACAGCCTCCTCATAATCGAGGCTTGACTCCTTCTTTGGAGGCCTCGAAGAAAGTACATCATTTGTTCGTCACTTTTGACTACACTTTCAAGACTCACAATTTTTTTGTTCGACATTTAAGGATTCTATTGACATGATCAAGTTAAGGGCATGACTTTGATACTATGTTAGGAATCATGAACCTCTACAATGGTATGATATTGTCCAGTTTGAGCATTATCTCTCATGGCTTTGCTTTTGATTTTCCCAAAGGGCCTCATAACAACGGAGAAGTATTCCTTACTTATAAACCCATGAGCGACCCCTTAATTAGCCAATGTGGGACTCCTCTCACAACAATCCTCAACACATCTATCCTAGATCCTACCAACTTATTGAAATGTTGCAGGTTTAGGCAATCGTTTCATACTTTGAGATGCTTGTAATTAGTTCAAATATCCACAGAGAACCCACTGGCTAGGTTTGATATTGAAGTGGCAACTATATGTTGATCCAATGTGCTATTCCTTTTTTAACCAAATTGTTGAAGCAGTATGAGACCTACAATGGTGGGTTTCATGGAATGAAAGCATTGTAGCAGGGTATGATTCTGTTACTAAAGTGCCACAGTGCCAAGATGATATCCAATATATTATTTATTTGAAGAATTGGTCCTTTGTTTGTACAACTTTGTGGGGTTGTATGCTTAAATAGCTGCTAACCTTCATTTACCTTCCTTATTACTCAAATTCGAGCTCAAAACATTTACCATAATTTACCACCGTGGATTAATCTAGTGGTCATAAGGAACCGAAGAAAAAGTGAATGGAGAAGGAATGGATTTGAATCAAACAGCCCAAGCCCACCGCTAGCAGATATCGTCCATTTTAGGCTTTTTCTTCCGGACTTCCCTTCAAAGTTTTTTAAAACGCATCTGCTAGGGAGAGGTTTTCACACCCTTATAAAGAATGTTTTGTTCTCCTCCCCAATTGAGATCTCACAGGACACCCCCTTTGGGGCTTAGCATTCTCGCCGACACTCATTCCCTTCTCCAATCGATATGGGACCCCCCAATCCACCCCCTTCGGGGCCCAGCGTCCTTGCTAGCATACCGCCTCGTGTCCATCCCCTTCGGGGCTCCGCCTCCTTGTAGACACATCGCTCGATGTCTGGCTCTGTTACCAACTATAATAGCCCAAGCCCACCGCTAACAAATATTATTCTCTTCAGGCTTTCCCTTTCGGGCTTCCCCTCAAGGTTTTTAAAACACATCTGCTAGGGAGAGATTTCCACACCCTTATAAAGAATGTTTCGTTCTCCTCCCGAACCGATGTGGGATTTCACATGATCCTCCTAAAATTGAACATACAAGTTTTCTAAATGACCAAATGCACAAGGCTAGGCTATCTTTTTGTGAGATTAGTTGCAACGTGCATAAGCTAATTTGGACGCTCACGATACTTTTTTAAAGAAAACCCCATTGAACTTTACGAAAGTTCCAATGTTCAGGTCTACATTTGTCCTTAAAACAGAATTCTCAACAGTCTGCATTCATTCTCTACTTTAAACTAAATAGTCAAGAGCATATTTTCATATTAAATCCCTCGTTCCTGAGGAGTCACTAATCAATTCATACGGTATAAGGTTCTTTATGACAGGAGTACTGGAAAAAGTAGAGGATTCGCATTTGTAACCATGAGCAGCATTGAAGATTGCAATAAAGTCATCGAAAATCTGGATGGAACTGTGAGAATTTTTCTCTCTTACTTTCATTTTTTCCTCTATGTTGCTATATCTATCCTGATATAATTGGAACTATTGGACTCTGATGCTAAATACGAGTATCACTTATATTCAGGCTTACATGGGCAGACTATTGAGGGTTAATTTCTCAGACAAACCTAAGCCTAAGGGACTTCTTTATCCAGATTCTGAGTATGAACTTTATGTCAGTAACTTATCCTGGTCAGTAACATCTGAAAGTTTGGCACAAGCATTTCAAGAATATGGAAATGTGGTCGGAGCAAGGGTCATCTACGATGACGAGACCGGAAAGTCACGTGGATATGGCTTTGTATCTTATTCAACAAAATCAGAGATGGAAACAGCTCTTGAAGTTTGTAATGAATTGGTACGAATCTTTCTTAGTTCTTATGTATCTTTCTGTTCACATTGTTATTATATCACTTCCTTTCGTGTAGCTCAATTGTGTCTGTTTTTTCGAGTTCTTAGGAACTTGAAGGCAGGGTAATACGTGTTAGCTTAGCTAAAGGAAAACAAGCTCAGGGGTAAATATCAGCATACAATGACTAAACAAGAAACAGGAAAGAATTTCTACCTAGCTGTTACTGAACGAACCGCACGTGACTGACTGTATCTTCTCTCTTTTTCGTATACATCCTGTCTCCCACTTCAATACGTTACGAGCGAATCTCAATGGGAATAGTATGTTCGGTTTCCAGCTATCATTGTAGAGATATCATGTGAATCCTGATTCAAACTGATGATCATCAGACAAGATTTAAAAAATGGTTGTAGCAATGAATAAGAAGGAAATAGGAATGAATTTCTACCTTGCTGTAGCTGGTTGAACTCTGCAAGCAATTGAAGTTTCTTTCTCATCTGTTGCTGTATGTATTTCATTTACTCATATCTCAATCCTATACTTCACAATTGAAACTATTAGTGAGAATGTCATTTGATGGCCTCTTAATGAAGTGGGAGACCTATAGCAGGGACTAAGGAGTGATCCTTGAAACAGATAAACTCCATACTAGAAGAAAATGGAAGTCTGTCACCAGTCACCTGAGGCGGGTGTAAAAGCTCCAAGTCCACCGCTAGTAGATATTATCTGCTTTGACTTGTTATATATCGTGGTTAGCCTCACGATTTTAAAACGTTTGTTAAGGAGAGGTTTTTATATCCTTATAAGGAATGTTTCGTTCTTCTCTCTTGCCGATATGTGATCTCACAATCTACCCTCCTTGGGGTCCTAACGTTCCTGCTGTTACACTGCTAGCAAATATTGTCCATTTTAACCCAAAAGAATTGCTAGATCTTGAGTAGAGTTTGATGTTCTTACCTATAGCAATCTCAATGAACAATAAGAAACACCATATTAATGAACCTGATCACCAAGAACCCACAAAATACACTCAAAGCTGAAAAACAAAACCAGCCCACGTACTAAAAACTCAAAAACTTATCTTTGAGGACTTTCTTCAAACACTTGGTGTGCACCCCACTAAACAAACCTAATCCTCCAGTGATTTCTTAGCTCATTAAGGGAGAAAAGAAAAGGTTTGACTGTAGGGCAGTGGGCAGGCAGTGATGAGCGCAAGAAATGCAAACTCAGGCAGTATTGTGCTGCACCATGTTTCCCAAAACTGAAAAAAAAGCGACCGAGAGACACAAAAAGATATTCAAACCGAGATTTTTTTCACTAAAATCTTATCAGGTTCAAAAAAATTAATCATATTTAACTCCTACCATTTGGGTTGGGTTGATCGGGTTCAATGTATACCCCTATGAAATTGGTCAGGTCTTCTATTCGTTTTAAAAGTGCCAAATACCAATGGTTAATGATGATAGGAAAAAAATTAAAAGGTTAATAAAAAAAGGTTGGTTTAATTCATTGACTTCATATGTTTCAGAAATGGAAACAAAAGAACATAGAAATAGACATTTTGGAAAAAGAAAAAAAAAAAAGCATTTTGATTTTCCCACCCCTTTCCTTTTCATTTCATTTATTTATTTATTTATTTTCAAAAGTTTTTTCCATTTGATTTAATTACCCAATTGATTGAAAATTAATAGAATCCAAAGAAATATGGACCCAATGATCTGATGATGCAATCTCTAAGAACGGCTGAGCTTTCAGAGAAACGCAAACACCTCGAAACCCAAATAATCATAAGAAAAATAAACAAAAATCAGTGGCGGAGAAGAAGAATATTCCCTGTGAATTTATCCCGAGCTCTCTCTCGCCCGCTGTATCGCTTAAACCCTTGCGTTCTTTCGCTCTCTGCTGCTCTCTTTCTCTGTATATCTCTCTAAATCTCTGTATTTTTTCATGTGTTTTTGAATTTATCTGTGATGGTTTCGATAGATGAAAATGAATCTGAAATGGGTTTTGTTTTTGTAGATCTAAGATTTTGATTGTGGGACTTGTTCTTGTTTCTTCTCGATTTTTAGGGTTTAAGGGTTTCGATCAAATGGGGACGCCCTTTCACATTCCGGTCACTGCCGCTCAGGTTTTGTTTATTTCCTTCTTTGTTCTTCTGTTTGGGCATTTGGGGGTTGTTTCCTTGCAGAAATTTGATGTGGGGTTTGGCTGGTTTAGGTGGGAACGTACTTTGTTGGGCAGTACTATCAGGTTCTTCAGCAGCAACCTGACTTTGTTCATCAGTTTTATTCTGATGCGAGTACCATGCTTCGTGTTGATGGCCATTTCAGGGAGTCCGCCACTGCAATGCTGGTATTTTTCCTTTTTCCTTTTGGTTCATTGTTCTTAACTGAAGTTTTTGAATTCTGTGCACAATGTGAGCGTTACATTTTGTGAGTGCATAATGTGTTTGTGTGTGGGCTTGTTTTGATTTTTCATATTGGTGTTCTTTCTCTCAATAAAGGAATGTAAGTGTTCTTTCATTTTTCCGGTATTTTAGGATGAATTCGACTGTGATTGAACTATGTTACGGTCTCTTTTCTTGTTCGTTATTCTTTCATGGGTAAATTCAGTTATTGTTCGTTGTTCTTTCACTATAAACTAGGTTAATGTGTCTCTTGGTCCTTTCTCCTTCACTGCTGCAAAGTAAAGACTTAGAAAGATTAATGATAGTTTACGAACTTCACTCGTTCACCTAAACCTAATTGAACCTATTTATTCTTGAATTGTAAACTCGGTCTCATTGCTATTTGACTCGGCTGTAAAGGTTCTTTCTCCTATACTCCTCGTGTTCTTCCCTTCCTTTAGATTCATTTCACTGGAAACAAGATTCATTCGACTCAACCTTAAACCTTTTCCTTCAAACACTTGGTAAACACCAGCTTATGTTTTTTTGTACGCCATGTAGTGGTTGATGACTTATTTTTCATTGTGTTAGACAATACATAATTTAGTAGATTCATTTCATGGCATATTTCTTCTTATGATTCATATAGTTTGTGTTTGCTGTTTAATCTGCAGCAAATCCATGCTCTTGTGATGTCGCTTAGTTATACCGGGGTTGAGATCAAGACAGCACATTCATTAGAATCATGGAATGGTGGTGTTCTTGTGATGGTTTCTGGATCTGTTCAAATGAAGAATTTCAATCAAATGAGAAAATTTGTGCAAACTTTTTTTCTTGCACCCCAAGAGAAAGGCTATTTTGTTCTGAATGATATCTTTCACTTTGTTGATGAGGAGCCAGTGCACCATTATCCAGCACTCTTATTAAGTCAGAGCAATCTTGATTCCACCTTGAATGCTCCAACCACAGCTCCAGAGACAGGTTTGATTTATTAATCACATGGGGGAGCTAATTTGTTTGCTTCTCTTGATGTATTGGATTCTAGAACACAACCTTTGAGTAATCATCATTAAAACTTGTAACGACCTAAGCCCACCGTTAGCAGATATTGTCCTCTTTGTGCTTTCCCTTTCGGGCTTCCTCTCAAGGTTTTTAAAACGCGTCTGCTAGGAGAGGTTTCCACATCCTTATAGAGGTGTTTCGTTCTCCTCCCCAACCGATGTGGGATCTCACAATCCACCCCCCTTCAGGGCCTAGCATCCTCGCTAGCACTCGTTCCTTTCTCCAATCGATGTGGGACCCCCACCGAATCCACCCTCCTTCGGGGCCAATCGTCCTTGCTGGCACATCACCTCATGTCTATCCCCCTTTGGAGAACAACCTCCTCGTTGGCACATCACCTAGTGTCTGGCTCTGATACCATTTGTAATGGCCTAAACTCACCTCTAGCAGATATTGTCTTCATTGGGCTTTCCCTTTCGGGCTTCCCCTCAAGGTTCTTAAAACACGTCTGCTAGGGAGAGGTTTCCACACCCTTATAGAGGATGTTTCCTTCTCCTCTCCAACCGATGTGGGATCTCACAATCCACCCCCCTTCAGGGCTTAGTGTCCTCACAAGCACTCGTTCCTTTCTCCAATCGATGTGGGAACCCCACCAAATCCACCCCCCTTCGGAGCCCAGCGTCCTTGTTGGCACATCACCTCGTGTCTACACCCCTTTGAGGAACAGCTTCCTTGCTGGCACATCACCCAGTGTTTGGCTCTGTTACCATTTGTAACGGCCTAAGCTCACCGCTAGCAGATATTGTCCTCTTTGGGAACCTTTCAGGCTTCCTCTCAAGGTTTTTAAAACGTGTCTGCTAAGGAGAGGTTTTCACCACTCTTATAAAGTGTGCTTCGTTCTCCTCCCCAACCGATGTGGGATTTCACAAAACTATTTTGTTGTTCATACTATTGAGGTGTTCTGTTAAATTTTCTTTGATTAAACTTGGTTCTTTGGATTATCTTTTGATTTCCCTTTTTGGTTCTGGCTTGGAGTCTCCCATGGAGTCGATTTGATACCGAGTTTTTTCTGAATGAAGTTAAATTCTTGTTGTAGTGCCCAATTACTCACTGAATGGTGCAGTCCAGGCCCCGCGAGAGTTTGCAACCCCGGTTGTCAAAGAAAATGGTCACGTCGATAACTGTAAGTTTGTCGAGCAGCAACTGCAGCAAGTTCCCGAGCCAAAAAGCATTATAGAGGAAAGTACAGCAGACGTAAATTCTATCCATCAGAATGCACCAACTGTTTCACCAGATCCTTCCCCTGTTTCTGTTGAAGAACATGCTGAGGAGCCCCAAAAGCAAACATATGCTTCAATCGTAAGCTTTGACATTAACAATCAATTCACCAAAGATTTAAACATATGCAGCATTTGATGGAACTGACTTCATTTATTCTAATTTCTTTAGCTTCGAGTTGCTAAAGGACAAGATGCGCCCGCTTCCATTGCTGCTTCTCAGTATCCAGTTAGTAAGAGCACACCATCTGCTTCAGAGAAAAACTACACTCCACCGTCCACTGCCCAGCAATTAACTACAGCTCTCCAAAATAACTCCGAACGGGAACAGACAGGAGGCGAGTTCCCTTCTGTTGATGATGAAGGTTAGCAATGTCGTATTGATCATTATTCGGGTCTTTAGCTATTTCTATGTGAATTATAATCATTTTTAACCTCTATGTATGAAGGTGAAATAAAGTCTGTTTATGTAAGAAACTTGCCATCCACTGTGTCTGCTTCAGAAGTTGAGGAGGAATTCAAGCACTTTGGAAAACTCAGTTCTGATGGGGTGGTTATTAGGAGCCGCAAGGTCTACATTCTTTTTTTTTTTTTTTTTATCTTTCAGTGTATTTCACGATGCCTGTCTTGAATTACTCGATGCCTGACTAACTCGTGATTTCCAGGATGTTGGTTTTTGCTATGCATTTGTCGAATTTGAAGACGTCACTGGCGTCCAAAACGCTATCAAGGTTGGTTTGCTTCACTTGAAATCCTTGGAACTTAGTGTTTTCTTATTCTTTCTTTTTAGATTGAACTTTTACTTTTTGCTTTAAAAACATTTTGGGTTTCAATCTTTCATCCCCCTCCTACACCAATTTTGTTTTAGAAGGATAGTGCCCAAAAACGTTGTAACAGCCCAAGCTCACCGCTGGTAGACATTGTCCTTTTTGGGCTTTCCCTTCCAGACTTCCCCTCAAGGTTTTAAAACGCGTCTGTTAAGAAGATGTTTTCACACCCTTATAAAGAATGTATCATTCCCCTCTCCAACTAATGTGGGATCTCACAATTCACCCCCTTGGGGGATAGCGTCCTCGCTGACACACTACCGGGTGTCTGACTCTAATACCATTTGTAACAACTCAAGCCCACAATAGATATTGTCCTCTTTGGGTTTTCCATTCTAGGCTTCTCTTCAAGGTTTTAAAATGCATCTGTTAAGGAGAAGTTTCCATACCCTTATAAAAAATGTTTTGCTCCCCTTTCCAACCAACATGGGATCTCACGAACATCTATCCATAATTTTTTGAACTAAAAACTTGCCTGATCAACCCTTACCTTATTAGATTTCTTTTTGATAACCCACCTCATAGATTCTGATTAGCAGTTCTTTTTTCCTCTTTCCAGGCAGGTACTGCTCAGGTTGCTGCCACCTCATAGATTCTGATTAGCAGTTCTTTTTTCCTCTTTCCAGGCAGGTACTGCTCAGGTTGCTGGGCGTCAAGTATACATCGAGGAGCGGAGAGCGAACAGCAACGTCCCACACCAAGGAGGAAGTATGCATTCTTTCACAATGTATCTCTTTAGAATTTTGATGTTGATAGTCATATCTTCCAATTCAAAGTACATGCATCTACCCTGATATGATAGACCATTTGATGGCTTTGCTGATAGCTTTATAACAACCCAAACCCACAGCTGCTTTGATCTGTTATGTATGGCCATCAGCCTGACTATTTTAAAATGCATCTGTTAGGGAAAGGTTTCCCACACCCTTATAAGGGATGCTTCGTTCCCCTCTTCATTTATCGGGACATCACAATCCACCCCCTTGGGGGCCTAACGTCTTCGCTGGCACCTCATCTAGTGTTTGGCTTTGATACCATTTGTAACAGCCACTTAAAACACAGTGGGCTTAGGCAGATGTGGATTGTGAGGATCCACATCGATTGGAGAGGGAAACGAAACATATTCTTATAAGGGTGTGGAAACTTCTCCCTAACATATGCGTTTTAAAACTGCGAGGCTAACGGTGACATGTAATGGGCCAAAGCGGACAATATCTACTAGCAGTAAGCTTGAGCTGTTATATGTTTTGTCCATCTGCTACTTACGAACCAACGTGTGGAACGACATATTCAGCTTTAGTTTTGAATTCCTTATTTGAACTGGCTTTCATTCCTTGGCTACACTATTGAATTATGAGCAGGAAGGGGTGGTAGAGGAAGAGGTAGCTATCACACAGAGTCTTCTAGGGGGCATCATTCTAGCTCTTGGAGTTACAATATGGGAGTTCGAGACGGAAGCGACCGTGAGTATATCAGACCGAGAGGCAACGGCTTCTATCGACCTACTACTCGACAGGACAAAGTGAACCACAGCCATCAAGTATCAAGAAATGGAGAAAGTCCATCAGAGTCATCATAGCTCGTTTAGCAAAGCAACAGTTTTGGTTCTAGCATTATCAACAGAGGCACACTCACATTACCACATTGAAGAATAATTTGAGTCAGTTTAAGCTAATATTATTTGTCTAAGCGAATATGAATTGCATCATTATTTTTTCCATTGGGTTTCTTGATTTAAACAACATTTCATGAAACTCACTGCATTTCCTCGTTGTTTTAAATATAATCAAATTTTGTCTCTACCTCTCGTGTTCATACTCGTTATTATATGATATTTGAATCGAAAAGTTTAAATTTTCATACCTCATTTCTTATACTAAAATAGCCTATGTTGTGTTCATAACCGTCGTCTCTTTCCCCGTCGGCGTTTTTTTGGATCAGATTCCGTACGAGCAACTTCACCTCATTTACTCACTCAACCGCATTTTTGTAATGCCCCTTTTCTCTTCCTCTGCTGATCTCTTCCATGATTAAATTTCATGCATTGCATTTTGTGTTGTATTTCTGCATAGCTCTGGGTCTCTGTTTCTTTGTTATGCTTTGTCTGGATTGTGTCGTATTTGTTGTATCATTTGTTGAGAATTGTTGGAATAGGAGTCCCACATCTACTAATTAAGGGATTGATCATAGGTTTGTAAGTAAGAAATACATCTCTATTGGTATGAGCCATTTTCGGAAAGCAAAAAAACAAGTCATGAGAGCTTAGGTTCAAAGTGGACAATATCATACCATTATGGAAGGTCGTGATTTCTAATATGGTGTTAGAGTTATGCCTTTAACTTAGTTATGTCAATAGAATCATCAAGTGTCGAACAAAGGGTATATTTTGTTTGAGAACTCCAACCAAACTGACCGAATTAGTTGTCTTTGTTAAATTGATAGATCCAATTTCTTGGAGTTAACAGGGAATATTGATTAGAGTTTTGCTAGTCCTGACTTATCTTTTATCATGTGAAGCATCAAAAGTTGAGTGAGATTGTTCCTAGGATTATTCGTCATGTTCAGTAAAAGGTGTGTCATCCAAACATGTTTTTTTTTTCAGGTGGAAATGTTGGAGATGAGATCCATCATTAAGTAGACAGATTTGAAGTTTTTTGTGTTCTCATGCAAGGCTTAATGGGAATGGCAAAACCAATCTCAAGTGTAATGGTGTGTTCTACCGATTAAAAAAAAAAAAACCTCTATCTAGCCGACGCATTTTAAAATCGTGAGGCTGATGACGATGTTTAACAGGTCAAAGTAGACAATATCTGCTAGTAGTGGGCGGTATCAGAACTAGACACCGAGTGGAGTGTCAATGAAGACACTAGACCCCTAAGGAGGTAGATCTACGGGCTGTTGGGCTTGAACTGTTACAAGTTGAATGTGTTCTGATTGATGCCAAAGAGAAGCCACCTCTGTCCACGATCGGTGCTTCAAGTGTGTATGTGATTCTTAGACCAGATGGTTTATGTCGTAGAGGTGGTACGGTACGCCTTTGACTTGTTATTTATTATATTTATGTTCTTTCAAGCTTGTCATGGACGGTAGGAAGCATTGCTGTGAGTCATTGACTCAGTTTGTACACACCTCATACAGAACTATCACTTCTCTTCCCTATCATAGACCGATGATCTGGAGTGTCAAGTCCATTCAAAGCGTTTGAAAGAAGAAATGCGGGATGCTATGTTCGTTTATTTTATGGTCCCGAGGAAGAGCTTGGCTTGCTCACTTGAAACTCCTCTCATCAGAGTTCCAGCTAACTAGTATTGCTGATGGAAATATGACTCTATCAGATAATGTGACTGTTTGTTCGTAATGTCGTATAAATTGATCAGATAATGTGACTGTTTGTTCGTAATGTCGTATAAATGGATTGTAATATTGTTTCTTTTTGTTCTCTTCCGCAGTTATACAACTTTACAATAATTTTACACAATGACCAAACAAAGAAATAGAGCTTTTTACTTCGTTTCGTCAAATTTAGAACAGTGGAGACTCAAAAGGTGTTTTCATATTCGGTTCAATATTTCTAAGTACTGTGTGAGACACAATGGTCGTTTATCACAATTAGGTCTTAAGAAGAGTACTAATTTCACCACTTATACAAACTCATGCTCAATCGACTAGAATTACAATTTCAAGATTAAACCGATCGACTGACGAATTAAGCACGAGATTAACAAACAAACAAATCCTTGCAAGGAAAAAGAAAGCAATAAAGAGAAAGGAGAGTAGATAAACTCATTTTCAGTTGATTAATTCTGTGTGTATGTACAAATAAATGTTNAATCGAAAAGTTTAAATTTTCATACCTCATTTCTTATACTAAAATAGCCTATGTTGTGTTCATAACCATCGTCTCTTTCCCCGTCGGCGTTTTTTTGGATCAGATTCCGTACGAGCAACTTCACCTCATTTACTCACTCAACCGCATTTTTGTAATGCCCCTTTTCTCTTCTGCTGATCTCTTCCATGATTAAATTTCATGCATTGCATTTTGTGTTGTATTTCTGCATAGCTATGCTTTGTCTGGATTGTGTCGTATTTGTTGTATCATTTGTTGAGAATTGTTGGAATAGGAGTCCCACATCTACTAATTAAGGGGTTGATCATAGGTTTGTAAGTAAGAAATACATCTCTATTGGTATGAGGCATTTTCGGAAAGCAAAAAAACAAGTCATGAGAGCTTAGGCTCAAAGTGGACAATATCATACCATTATGGAGGGTCGTGATTTCTAATATGATGTCAGAGTTATGCCTTTAACTTAGTTATGTCAATAGAATCATCAAGTGTCGAACAAAGGGTGTATTTTGTTTGAGAACTCCAACCAACTGACCGAATTAGTTGCCTTTGTTAAATTGATAGATCCAATTTCTTGGAGTTAACAGGGACTATTGATTAGAGTTTTGCTAGTGCTGACTTATCTTTATCATGTGAAGCATCAAAAGTTGAGTGAGATTGTTCCTAGGATTATTTGTCATGTTCAGTAAAAGGTGTGTCATCCAAACATGTTTTTTTTTTCAGGTGGAAATGTCGGAGATGAGATCCATCATTAAGTAGACAGATTTGAAGTTTTTTGTGTTATCATGCAAGGCTTAATGGGAATGGAAAAACCAATCTCAAGTAAATGGTGTGTTCTACTAATTAAAAAAAAACCTCTATTTAGCCGATGTGTTTTAAAACCGTGAGGCTGATGACGATGTATAACAGGTTAAAGTAGACAATATCTGCTAGTAGTGGGCGGTATCAGAACTAGACACCGAGTGGAGTGTCAACGAAGACACTAGACCCCTAAGGAAGTAGATCTACTAGCTGTTGGGTTTGAACCGTTACAAGTTGAATGTGTTCTGATTGATGCCAAAGAGAAGCCACCTCTGTCCACGATCGGTGCTTCAAGTGTGTATGTGATTCTTAGACCAGATGGTAAATTTTTTATGTCGTAGAGGTGGTACGGTACGCCTTTGACTTGTTATTTATTATATTTATGTTCTTTCAAGCTTGCCATGGACAGTAGGAAGCATTGTTGTGAGTCATTGACTCATTTTGTACACACCTCATACAGAACTATCACTTCTCTTCCCTATCATAGACCGATGATCTGGAGTGTCAAGTCCATTCAAAGCGTTTGAAAGAAGAAATGCGGGATGCTTTGTTCATTTATTTTATGGTCCCGAGGAAGAGCTTGGCTTGCTAACTTGAAACTCCTCTCATCAGAGTTCCAGCTAACTAATATTGCTGATGGAAATATGACTCTATCAGATAATGTGACTGTTTGTTCGTAATGTCGTATAAATTGATTAGATGATTTGATGAGAGTGAAAATAAGTGGATCTTCCTGCTGGATTGTAATATTGTAGATAGAAGAAACGAGCACAGGTTGCAGTTTCTTTTTGTTCTCTTCCGCAGTTATACAACTTCACAATAATTTTACACAATGACCAAACAAAGAAATAGAGCTTTTTACTTCGTTTCGTCAAATTTAGAACAGTGGAGACTCAAAAGGTGTTTTCATATTCGGTTCAATATTTCTAAGTACTGTGTGAGACACACGGGTCGTTTATCACAATTAGGTCTTAAGAAGAGTACTAATTTCACCACTTATACAAACTCATGCTCAATCGACTAGAATTACAATTTCAAGATTAAACCGATCGACCGACGAATTAAGCACGAGATTAACAAACAAACAAATCCTTGCAAGGAAAAAGAAAGCAATAAAGAGAAAGGAGAGTAGATAAACTCATTTTCAGTTGATTAATTCTGTGTGTATGTACAAATAAATGTTGATGCACTGCCTGTAAAAGAAAGAAAAAGAGGGAAACCAATCCAAGCCAAGTCAAGCCTAGAGATGAATGAATGAACAACTTCAAGTGGATGAGCTTGCAATGGATTTCACTCACTATGGGGGGGAAGAAAGTGAGCCAAATAGAGAGATACAAAGGGTTTGATTTTAGAGAGAGAGAAGAGAAGCTGATAGAAATATGTGATATTATCAAGCCAAGAGCCAGAAGTTTCTGTGGGTTTTGGTGTTCAAAAGATAGCCTGCATTTTGACCCTTCTTTTGCACAGCTACACAAGTGCAATTGCTGTTCTCTATCAAATACTCAGCTGTGTCCAACATTTTTACCACTCCTGCCCGTTTATATCTGCATTTAATAAAATTCATAAACTAAAACTGTTCATCCAGTTCATCAAAACTAACTCATAAATTATCTTAAATTGCCCAACTTCAACATAATTCATGGTTTGTTGGTTTGATTCCAACCCCTTTACCTATATATAATACAATATTTTGTTTCGATATTCAATTCGCACAAAAGACACACAGAAAGGCCCTAAAAACCTTCACAAAAACGCATCTGTCCAACCCGAAAAAGATACCGAATTTACACTCAAGTCCCACCAACAGAAACACTCAGCTTGGGTATGGATCTTCAAGAAAATTACTCTATCAATGGAGGCCAAGGGTATGTATTAATTTCACTACATTGTATTCGAGTTTCAAGAAAATTACTCTATCAATGGAGGCCAAGGGTATGTATTAATTTCACTACATTGTATTCGAGTTTCTAGGATTTGACAGTGTAAGATTAATGTTTACATCTTTTTTCTCTGTTTTGAGTTATCAAAATGTCTATTTCAAACTTGTCGTTGTCTTTATTTTAGCCAATACATACTCAAATCAACACTTCGATACACATTATCTTAACCAAGCTAACATACACAAGTCGAATAATACTCGAGCCAACAAGTTGATACACACACTATCTAATCCACCCTAACATACTTTGACTTCAATACGGGCTCCGAGTTAATACACATTATCTTACCAATCTAACATACTTGACTTCAAACAATGAGCATATGTCAACTAGTTAAAGCATATACCCTGCATTGAGAGGTCAAAGATTTGATCCATATAATGTTATTTACCCAAAAAATGAGTTAATACACATATTGGAAACTATCTCATTCAACAACTAAGCCCTAAAATAGTTAATAAAAGCTTCGAAACCAAAGAACAACAAGATTGATAAACGAAATGGATTAAAACCTAGAATTAATTTCGATTTTAAAAAGAATAAAAGGTGGAGAATATTCCTAAGATATTTTGATGAAGGGAAGAAGACAAACCCTAAGATTGCTGTGGAGAGACTTCGCCTCTGCCCTATGACTAGCAGATCAATATCGAGGGCCTTAGTTTGAGCCATGATCATGGCGGCTTTGTCTTTGCCCTATGACTAGCAGATCAATATCGAGGGCCTTAGTTTGAGCCATGATCATGGCGGCTTTGTCTTTGCCTTCCATTTCAACCCTCGCCGTCCGCACTTTCAGTTCCGGACGAGCAACGTTGCATACCTTCTTCATCTCCTTAAGAAAATCGACATCCGTCGGTCCTCCTCCTCCGGCGTCTGAGGCGGCGTTGTCAATGGGAGTGGCAGCGGCATGAGAATTGGCGGGTCCACCATTAGGCCTCTTAAGGAACGTAGTAATAGCGTTTTTCCAAGAATTAGGATTGTCGACATGGAGAAGAATGACCTCGTCGCAATCAATGACAGCATGCGAAAGCGAATACTGGAGCGCGGCAGCGGACTCTCGAGTGGGGTCGACGACTACCATGACCTTTTTAGGTGTGGTGTTGGACGCCGTAGTTGTATTAGTTGTAATCCGCTCTCCTCCCATGGCTGCCGTCCTCCGGCGATGCTACCATGCACAGCCGCCGGCGATGGAGAGAAAACAACAAAGAGAGAGAAATCAGGGTGTGGATGTGAAGGAAAGGCAGAATCAAAAGCGAGAAGGAGAAGCAATATGAGGTGGTCATTTTGGTTTTAGTCGGTTTCAAAACAAAACTATATCAACAAATTAGGGTCTCTGCCTCTTGGCCTCTGCTCTTCCTCCATTTTCTTAATTTTTTTGGGACCAACGCTTCTTCTTCCTTCCGACATTTTTGCTTCCTTCTGATTCGTTCATCGTCTTCTCCGATCTTCCCGCCATTTCTTCCCCTCATCAAACCCTAATTTTTCTGATTTTCCAACCTCCTAAATCTTTGCTCAACTCGCACCTTAAAGCCAACATAATTTACCTTTCAAATAGTGTTTTTTTATTTAAAATTTGAAAAATAGGCGAAATGACAAATCTACCCTTTTAAATCTTAGAAAAAATACACCAAATATAGAATCAAATTTTTTTCTTTTTTTTTTTTTAATTTTATTCTTCTGGAAAGTCTCCCCTCGATTCCTATCTCTACCTTTCACCTACTCGTGTAAGCTTAGGTTGAGAAATATTTTGAATCAATTTGAAATTTCGGTTGGTTGGTTGGTCCATGACTTAGAACAATTATATAATATAATCCAACCCTCTATTTACAAATTCGGCTAATTTAAGGAATGATCATACATTTATAATCAAGGAATACTTTATCCATTGTTATGAGGTCTTTTGGGAAGTCCAAAACAACAATATCATATCATTGTGGAGAGTCGTGCTCGTCTAACAAGTATACGGTCTTCAGGATGTTTTATTATTATTATTAAAAATATATAATTATCCACTATACGTGTTACATCAATAATTAAAATCTCACATTAATAATTAAAATCTCATAAAATTCAAATATCAACGTCACTACTCTAAAATATAAAATATTCTTGTAACTCTATTTTCATGTCACTGGAATCAATGGAATCAATGGAACCAACTAAACCCCGTGTCACTATATAAGTGTTATTACATTAATAATTAAAATCTCACAAAATCCAAAAGTGTCACTACTCTCAAATATAAAATATTCTTGTAACCGAAGCTGATTTTTTTTGTTTTTTAAAAATTCGAAGAATTAGTTAAATTAACACAAATTTCAAACAGATATTAATTTCTAATGAATAAATTTATAAATATTTATTAAAACTTTTCCCTCTCGAATATATTCGGATTAAACTCTTTAATCCAATAAGATCAACGACTTGAAGAACCCTAACTTCTTCATGCCCCAAATATTAAAAAAAAAAAAAAAAAAAAAAAAAAAAAAAAAAAAAAAAAAAAAAAAAAAAAAAAAAAAAAAAAAAAAAAAAAAAAAAAAAAAAAAAAAAAAAA